TTATTAAATTTCGATCATAAATTGTACCTTTACATGTGTTTAAAGTGGGGGTGTAGGGAAATTTCGACTTTGCATAATCCACCAAAATTTGTAGTCTCAATGAATTTATTTGCTATTTTTGAATTTTTGGTTAAAATAAGAATACTTCCATCTTGTAATAGATTTATGCTTTGATATTCGTTGCTTATGCCTTGAATAGCTTTGTCTATTGCAAATACACTAAATTTTGTGAGGGGAGTGTTTTCTTCTTTGATTTGATTATTATGAATTTTGGGTCGTTGTTAAATAGGCTTTTCTGATTTAAAGCTGGATATGCTTCTTCTGGTGTTGTGTTTGGTTTTTTTTCTTTTATTTTTGTGTTTGGGCGATTCATTAAGAATGCCAAACCTGTTCCCCACGAGGGGAACAGGTGAATCGTCGACGTCCATCGTATAAATTTAAAAAATTGATGGTTATTGGGCTTTAGATTTTTTAATAAAAGTAAATGAAAAAACGATCGTATGAGAAAATACCGGTTAACACAGTTGTTATCACGACAGATGTTAGACGGTGACTGCTAAACATATGTATGTACATATGCATGTATGAAAATGATTGGTGGTCTTTCAATAACCCAGCAAACAAAATCTGATGACAAAAAATTTGGCAATGAACTGAAGTTTTTTTTACCATATGCTAGACAAGACTATAGTCTAGAGTTTAGAGTAGACTATAGATTAGACTACAGACTAGTCTACAGATTAGGCTATAGACTACACTATGGACTAGACTATACACCAGACTATTGAATAGCCTATAGACTAGACTATATACTAGACTTTAAAAGAGACAATAGGTTAGACTACGGACTAGGCTATATACTAGACAATAGACCAAACTAATGACTAAGCTATAGACTCGACTAAAGAATAGACTATAGAACAAACTATAGACTAAGGTACAGACTAGACTGTATATTAGACTATGGATATAGACTAGACTGTAGACTACACTATAGACTGTAGACTACACTATAGACTGTAGACTACACTATAGACTGTAGAATACACTATAGACTGTAGACTAGACTATAGACTGTAGAATACACTATAGACTGTAGACTAAACTATAGACTAGACTATAGACTAGACTATAGACTAGACTATAGACTAGACTATAGACTAGACTATAGACTAGACTATAGACTAGACTATAGACTAGACTATAGACTAGACTATAGACTAGACTATAGACTAGACTATAGACTAGACTATAGACTAGACTATAGACTAGACTATAGACTAGACTATAGACTAGACTATAGACTAGACTATAGACTAGACTATAGACTAGACTATAGACTAGACTATAGACTAGACTATAGACTAGACTATAGACTAGACTATAGACTAGACTATAGACTAGACTATAGACTAGACTATAGACTAGACTATAGACTAGACTATAGACTAGACTATAGACTAGACTATAGACTAGACTATAGACTAGACTATAGACTAGACTATAGACTAGACTATAGACTAGACTATAGACTAGACTATAGACTAGACTATAGACTAGACTATAGACTAGACTATAGACTAGACTATAGACTAGACTATAGACTAGACTATAGACTAGACTATAGACTAGACTATAGACTAGACTATAGACTAGACTATAGACTAGACTATAGACTAGACTATAGACTAGACTATAGACTAGACTATAGACTAGACTATAGACTAGACTATAGACTAGACTATAGACTAGACTATAGACTAGACTATAGACTAGACTATAGACTAGACTATAGACTAGACTATAGACTAGACTATAGACTAGACTATAGACTAGACTATAGACTAGACTATAGACTAGACTATAGACTAGACTATAGACTAGACTATAGACTAGACTATAGACTAGACTATAGACTAGACTATAGACTAGACTATAGACTAGACTATAGACTAGACTATAGACTAGACTATAGACTAGACTATAGACTAGACTATAGACTAGACTATAGACTAGACTATAGACTAGACTAGACTAGACTATAGACTAGACTATAGACTAGACTATAGACTAGACTATAGACTAGACTATAGACTAGACTAGACTAGACTATAGACTAGACTATAGACTAGACTATAGACTAGACTATAGACTAGACTATAGACTAGACTATAGACTAGACTATAGACTAGACTATAGACTAGACTATAGACTATATTCTTGTTTATATACTAGACTAGAGAGACTATAAAACAGACTAGCTTATGGACGAAACCGGGCTAAACTAGATTAGACTATATGGTAAATATCGTCGATTTGTTAAATTTTCGTTTGTTTGCTGGGTTACAAACTTCCCACATATTCACTTAAATGTTTAAATTTTAGTTTTTCCAACAAAAAAAAACCGTTTTTTGTTAGTTTTATTTTTCTTTTATTTTATTTAGTTTTTTACTTCAAGTTTTTTTATCTGGTATAAATCTTTAGAAGGTTTTATTGAAACATCACCGTTAAACAAATGGAAGCAACATTTTAAGTCCTTGTGTTATTATAAAGCTTGCATGACTGAAGCAAATTTATTAAAATTGTTCTCGTTTTAGTTCTTTTTTTTTCAAAAGATCTATTTACGGCTATTCTTGACTTATTCAAATTTACTATGTATTTTAAAAGTATTGCATGCCATAAATTTCTCAGGCTGGTTTTTTGTCAAGTTCACTTAATATGTTTGTGGTTGAAAATTTATTAAATACAAGTGGATTAGATTTTTTTTGCAAATCAGATTAATTATTCAATTTGACGATGTAAAAACAAAGTGTAGGCGTTTTTTCATATTAATATTAAGGCTCTTATTCCGAATAAATTATTTAATTCAGTTATAATTTACATAAAATAGGTATAACTAATTTAATTTCTATGCAAAATTTGTTTTCTAAATCTTTGATAAATTTAAACATTGTTGACTTCCTATAGGATTATGTTATTATAGCTATGGAGCAAAACGGTTTATAACTAATTCATATAATTCTCCTTAGTTTTACCCGAATAGCCTATACATATAAATCTTAAAATTATCGGAGATAATATGTTAATATGTTCCTTAAAAAGTCTATAATTGCATCCTGGAACTTTCTTACTATTAACCAATTAATCGTTTTCTTTAAACTTCGTTTCTTATTTGTTTACCTTCTCCAATTGCACTTTTTGGAGAGTTCTTTCTCATTTCTCTACACTTGCATTACTTGTCATTTCATTTGTCCCGCTATTTTTTAGTTCAATGAAAAATTCGTGCGTGTTAAGTTCAATTCGAGTTTAGTGCTTTTAATTTATTAAAAATAATTGGAAATAATTCTTTAATTAATATTAAAGTTACTTAAACATGTTCCTAATAGTGTTAGGAAACTAATTAATAAGTTTATTTTAAAAGAAAGTTAAAAAATAAAGTGTAAAATTCATTTAAAGTTAATGAAAATTTTAGTTCTAATTAAAGCGTGTGTTTGTCAGTTTGTGTGTTTTTCTTTTGCGTTGTTTACGTTTCTCTTGTTTGAGTAATTGCAAGAGAATGTTTGTTATTGTTTTTGTCTAAATATTTGTTTTTGTTTTTTGCATAGAAAAGCAAAATAGTAAAAGCAAATAAAATCAAAGAAGTGTGTTTTCAATTGAATGCAAAGATATGAAATATTGTTATAAAAAGTTAATGTCATAAAAATCAACTAAAATATAACAAAATAATTAAGAAATGTTATTAAATTTAAATAAAGGTAGATTGCGGATTATATACGAGTACAATTTCGTGGATAAGTTTTTAGATTATAAGATTTAGATATGTACATACAAATGTATGTATCAATATTTTTTAACTTATAATTGTACCCTACACCATAACAGTGGGGAATTATACGTTTGTGATGATGTTTGAAACGCACAAAAATATTGGTTTTACAGTGTAGGACCTACAACCGTCTTAATGTATAGGTACCAATCGGTTTAGAATCATTTTAAACTATTAAGCTATGTCCATCCATGTAAACTTTGCAATCAAAGGAGAAGACGCAATTCTATAGAAAATTCTATGAACTTTGGTACACGTAAATGAAATTGGTCCATAATTTCATCTAGCCCCCACTTGTTCACATAAAGTCGTCTTAGAAAATAATTTTGAAGTCAATAAATATCATAAATATAGGAACATTTTCGTAAAAAGAGCTTTTAAGTGGATGTGGGTTAATTATAGATCGAATTATAAGGAACTAGTTGAATGTGACACGCAATAACGGTCCAAAGTTTGGGTTATATTTAAAGGTCATAGACCCTAATTTTTACTCAAATAAGTGTAACTTTTCACCTATTGGTCCTAGCAAAAATTTTTCATAGGAGTTCAGGTAGCTTTTTCTTCATTCTTTCAATTTTTTTTTCATTTTTTTTTCAAAATGTTTTTTTTTTTTTTGCTGAAAAGAAAGCTTATACAATTTCCTTTAAGGGCTTTATAGACCCATAATGGGATGCGAGTGGGATATCTTTCAAAAAAATATTTTTGACTCAAGAATAACATTTTTTCAATATTTGATTACTTAGTGGTTGAAGGGTCAATTTAGTTCCTCTTATATGAGGACTTTGAGATTTCTGCATGATGAATATATTTTTGACTTTTTATACTATATTTTGGGAGCTTCGTAAAATAGATTACATTTTCGATCTAACTTTATCAAGAGAGAATATTTCAGAATACAACGTCAAGGTTTAGGTATATCGAGCTTCCAATAGTTTTTTTTCTTCTGGAATCTTACAAGGATCCAGAATATGCAAACTTTTGTCTCAATATGTTGCAAACGGAATAACAAAATCAATATAGAAAGGCTTCGCTTAGACTTTTAAAATAAGAGATACATTCCTTAAATGCCTACATTAGTTATAGGGACGCATTAATTTTCTTTACAAATTGACAATTTTAGTATTTTTTATATGAATTTCCACTTTTAGAAAAAGAACACATAAGGCTTACTTACCCCTCCCTTTACTATCATTATGTGAAACATCCATTAACGTTGTCGTTAACGATGACGGTGCAGCACTTGAAGTTATAACACCATGTTGAGGTACTGGAGAACAATTTGCAGGTTGTAAAGTATCCAAACGATAACGTTGGGCACTCGAAGACGACGATACTGATGATATACAATTGCCATTTAAAACTAAACTTTGAGAGCTGGGTGCCATGGCAGCAGAACCGCTATTATGCACCTGAATGCCAATACAATTGGCAGTATTGCTACTTTGTACAGAGGGCAGAGTATCCAAAGTGTCACTTAAACGTTGCGTTGAATAAATATCACTAGAAATAGTTAATTTACATAGTATTATTTTCGGCAATTTGTCTGATTATTATGAATTTTACCTAAATGCACTGGAAGCTCCAAAAAATGTACTACGATCTTGTAATGCCGCTTTGGCTTTTTCTACACTTTGTTTTAACTGCTCAAAGGTGGACTGATGAAAACGATATGAGGTCCAATCGGGTGAACATTGTCCTAGAGTTATACAATCTTCTGTTTTAACTTGTGCCAAAGTGGGTGGTGACACCCTTTTCAGGTCCAAGGCCGTTTGATATGAACATGAATTTTCATACATTTTGAATTGATATATCGAGTTACTATACGGTTAAATAAAGTAATCTGAAATAGAGAAAAAAAATAATTGGGGGTAAAATGTGTATTTTGGCATATCTTTACTACAATATATATGTATGCATGTAGATATGTATATCTCCTGGTTTTCACAAAGAGTTATTAGCTGTGGGAGAGTTTTTATTTAACATAAACATATAAATCAAAATCCCTACATACTGTATTCCTTACAGTGTATTATAAAAATTACTGTAATTATTACCATTGCAAATATTTTAATTACATTTCGGAATATTTTGCTTTTGTTCAAACATTTAGTTGTAATACCTTGCAAAATTTTATGCAAATCAACATAATTACATATAAATTATTTTCATAAATTTTTCAAATAATTTACGAGCCAAATAACAAGGTTGGCTTACCAACCTGGTAGATAATGTACTGGTGTGGTAAAGTAATTGTGTGTCTGTTGCACTGGAAATATTGCGTAGTATTTTGTAGACTGCTAACTACAACTTCGGTCAAAAAGTAGTAACAAATTCCTCAATAAACAACAAGAAAAGAATACTTTTTGATCATTCATCATACATAGTATAGCTCTTATGTTGTATTTTACATTAAATCCGATATCCGAACAAACTATTTTTAAAAGACGCTTAATATAGCGTATAGGGTCATATATAGGTTATCGTTATATAATTTGTTGGGGAAACGTAATTCTTGTGTTTATAGTAAATTATAAGTTTTCATTAGGGGATCCGAGGAACTGATTTTTTAAGAATCTGATGTAGGAATACTTAATCGCTACATATGAATGAAAACGAGAGAAAAAATTTAAATACCAGCAAACGAAAATCTTAATCTCAGTACAATCGGTCCAAAATAAATCTTAAATTAAATTATTTCGAAATTAGTCTCGAAAATTCCATACATTGGAAACATCAGCAAAAACCCTTAATACCCTCCCCATTATACTGGTGTAGGACTTAATTAACAACCAAAAAACCTACAATGTTTTACCTAAATTAAAGTGGTTGAAAGTGGCTGAAATCCATATACATAGTATTATACAAATTGTAAGTATTTAAAGTACAACACTATTTAAGCGTATATTATCAGCTACGCACATACACCCACTACGACATCCTATAAACTCCATAGATTCGTATGTACATAAGTCTTCAGATTTTCTGTTTATAGAATAATAATGAATGGGCCAAACATACTCTAGCAAGAAAAAAAATATCGAAATTATTGTTTATTAACATGTACCTCTGTTGTAATATCAGTCCGTTGTACTCTTGTTATATTCAGATTGGTACACACACACATATTTGCGTAAACTTTTAGTCATCCTTTTGTTGTTTATTTTGTTTATCTGTATGAACAACAAATACAACACAAAAACAAACATAAAATAACCAGTAAAACATTATTATTGTTCATTTTGAAAATACGTATCTTATTCAAATTTAACTCGTCCTACACCAGCGCTTGTGTCGGAAGTCCAACATTTTGATTTATGTTTCTAAATTTATGCCATGATACAGTGGTATTTTACATTTGTATGTATATGTATACACACAGAATTTTACACGTTTATCATACTTTTGATTTCATACGGTCGTTCATGAATACATATTCATAGATTCAGAAAATTTTATATTCTTGTCTGTTTGCAGAGTCTGCTGAAACACATTTTTCAAAAATTTCAAACAACATTTTTTTATGCGATAACTTTTGATATGTTTTTTCATGGAATTTAATTTAAATCGAAATGAATGAATATTCTTATTAAAGCATTTAAACTGCACGTGTTGTTGTAGTTAATTTGAAAGAAATGTTTTGATTATTATTTATTTATTTGATTTGATTAATTGCTTGCTTGTTTATTGTTCTTATTTAAAGAAATTGGGAATGATTTTTTTAATAAATACTAATATGCCCATTAATTGAGTGATCACACAAGATAAATGGCGGATTACGGATTTGAAAAAGACAGTGAAACTCTGAAACACTTTTATTCTCTTTATCTGATGTTATTCCAGACATTACATCTCTCATGAATACTATTTTGAAAATACTAAGAAATTACATCCAGGAATCTGTATACGTGCACTTTGCTCTAGTATTTGGAGGTGTCTTGAGTCAAGTTTAATCTAGCCCCAACAAGGAAAATACAATCACTAGTTTAGAGTCAATAGACAACGCAACATCAAACCCGATTGATGTTGTGATGAATACTTCGATCCCTATTCTCATCATCTAAGACGCACCCCAGTGAATTCCTTATATATTTCAGTGGCCACAAAGATCTACTGTGATAAGTTGAGTAAAATCCAAAACACTCAACCATGAAAGAAAATCACAGATAAGTTAAAGATTAAGGTATTAACAACTGCGCCACCATCTCTGTTTTGCCAAACATTAGTTCAGCACACCATCTCCTCTGCCACTCCAACCATCACTCTATCCGACTAACCTTTGATACAACGCAGAATCGCTCCAATTCAATTCATGGTACATCGAACACCAACTCATACCCAATCTCTGCATTATCAGCTCAAATCAAACATTTTATTAATCCGCAACCTTACTCTGTGGTTTGTAACAGAAACTTATCCCGAAAATTATATTTCACCGTGTATCAATCTTTAAACCACAGCCACTACATGGATTCCGAAGAAATCTCAACCATCTGACCAGTCAGGACAAATCCTGCGGCCGCCCGTAGTACCAGATTATGTGGTTCTCCGGTTCGATCCCATGTCAAATCATTCCAAGGAAAGACCGAGGATACATTTGACATCACCAGTTTATAGTCCCGGTAAACTAGAGGTACTGGAAGCACCTCTTCACCCCCGGGATTGCAATTCACCAATATGAGGGTCATTCATACAGGAAACATGCTGCGGGGGAGAACCTGATACAGTAAAAATCATCATCATTGAACTATTTGTTTTGAGCTGATCAGTTCTCAAGCCTAGAAATGTTATAAGTTTTTCCTCTTACCCAGCCAAAATCTGGTAATGGCTTGTTCTTACTACACAACTTGCATTTCAATGATAATTACATACCAACTGCATAATTTATAACGATTCTAGTAATGACATACATTTAATATGATATATTAACACTTATTTTCGGTTTTGCAGAGTATAGTGAGTTCAACTGTTATATAATAAACTCGAAGTCCCTGGTTTGTTGGCTCTTTGTAAGTGAGCGTGGTAAACACTTCTCTTATCCCTTGTGTTCAAATAATGAGTTAAAATGTCAATGACTAAGTATTGAAAAGTTGTTTTATTAGTTTTAAGGATCTGAAGGTTTTATTTAGAAAAATTTTCCTGATTTGCCCCATATTCGGTGTATCCAAACATAATACTAAAGAGTTATTTTAATTATCACAGTTTTCTTTTAAGCATATCACTTTTTGGGTGGGTGTTCCAAAAATCGTTTTGCATTTTTACGCTTGTCGTATGCCACGCCCTCTAGTAGTATAAATAACACTTTGAACTTGATATAAATCTATGAAATTATTCCTCCCCTTATAAACGCCCCTTATGCATATAAATAACCAAATTACAAACCATTAAATCTACTTAAAATGTAACAAAAAAATATGTTTTGTTGTTGTGTAACTATATGAGAATATCCATAAACGAGAAAACGTATGTCGATAATTAGTAAACACAATAATCTTGGGATTAAATCATTTTATTAACAAACATAAAAACCCATTCCCATTGCTCTTTTCATGTTTCGTTTAATTTTTTTTTTTTTTCATCTTATCAAACAATATGCGTCTCATTTTGGGATCTCGTTATGTAACACGCGCAAAGCCATCCGCCAAGGACTTCCGGTACGCGCGGCAATACCATTTAAAATGAGCCAACAATAAATGGATACATTGTCTCTTACCAGACACACTCTCATACAAAGAATCTTCATTGCGTATACGTTATGCCGGGTAATATTATAATACTTATACATACAATGAATATGTACTTGGACGTATTATCAATGATGCATTTCATACTTATGAATTAAAATCTTATAAAAACAAATTATCGAAATTCATTTAACATACATAGTGGTGTATTTGCAAAAATTTCACAACAAATTCTAAAACTGAAATAATAAGTATGTGTAGTAGTGATTTATTTCAATTTATGATATTAATTTCTTAACTTGTTAAATAAGGGAGTAATGTTGCTCATTATTTTGTGTATATTCTATTTATTTTTCAATTTGTGTGATAATCTCTGTCGTACTTCTATTCATACCTTTTTCTTGTGCTTTTCACATTGATATCAAAATACAAGCAAATCTTATGTCTCTTACCATAAATAAAACAGGCGTGTGCAGACAGTTTATTATAATGTCAAAATGACATTAAGTGGCTAAAAGAATTCCATTAATTTTTCTATCTTAAGAGATTTTTTCTTTAGAGTCTGCTTGCTAATCAGGGTTTATTTATCTCATTATATATATATATTCATATTAAATTTAGTTCTTTACAAATTGTGTAGGAGTATCAATTTGTACTAAAATAAAGTTTCATACTTGTTCTGTAATATTATACATAATAATTAACACTTCATTAGGTCTATATTTAAAATACCTAAATTTAATTTGTCTGCAAGAAAAATTACGATAACCTAATTATTACCTCGTTTCTGTATTTTTCCCGAATCTAGTTTTCAACAGTATGATTGAGTTTATATTGTACGCATAATATTGAAACCCTAAATTGATATTAAAGGATAAACATGTTAAAATACATTTTTGATATCTTTTTATCCTGACAGTATAAAATGAAAATAATACAAAATATTTCCCAACCCTTCCACTTCTCTTGAAATCAAATTTGGCATTGTTTGATATAAGTATTTAAAAAAAAATATACTTTTTAAAACTTTGAAGTTCTTTAAAAGGGACACACATCTTGTCAGATGGTGTAATATCTGGTTCTGGTGTCTAATTTTGTGTTTCGGACGGTGTAATTTATTATATTTTGGTTAAATTTCAAAATTTTACTATTTAGGAAAGCTATGCCTTGTGGACTGATTCTCATAAAATTTTGTCAATGGATCTACATTTTTACAATATGTATTTATGCTGAATTTCATCGCCACATCTTTTTAAGCGAATTGCGGTAGAGTCCATTATAGACCGGTTGTCATAAAATTTGGTAGATAAGTTTCGAGTTTCATCGCTTAACAGAGTGTTTATATTGAATTTCATCGTTATACTCGGATTTTTATCCAAGTAAAAAAGCCTTAAAATAATTTTCTGAAGGGGCCTTATATGAGGAGTAGGTTCAATTATGGACCGATCCTCATAAAATTCAGTAGAGAGAATTTAACTCGTAAGAAACTTGCTTGTGTCCAATTTAATCGCTATACTTTTATTTTTAAGGTAGTAATTCTGAAGGGAACCTTATTATAGACCGGTCCTCATAAAATTCGATAGAGAGATTTTTGCTCGTAAGAAACTTACTTACGGCGAATTTCAGCGCTAAGCTCGTATTTTTAAGCCAGTAATGGGCTTTGAAGTAATTTTTTGGTGTAGGGTCAATTATGGACCGATCCTCATAAAATTCGGTAGAGAGAATTTGGCTCATATTAAACTTGTTTATGTCGAGTTTCACTGTTAAAGCTGTTTTTCGGGGGGCTATGCGAAAACGTGGACCTATGGCTCTTTCCGTTCGGACTCTATCGTGGCTAGATCGCCAGAAAATTTAATAATGATGCATAATATATATACTTTTATGGGTCTATGACCAATATTTCGATGTGTTACAAACGGAATGACAAAATCAATATATCCCTCATCTTTTTTGTTAGTGGGTATTAAAATTCCTTTTAACCCACTATGAACTTTCAATTAGCGATAGCGTAAAAGTTTGACCTCGCAGCGAAAAATGCTTCGGGAGTTTGAATACACTACTGGCATACTTTCAATTTGTGAAGGAATAGTGTTGCCTAATGTAATTCATCAACTCTTTCTCAAAATTGGTACTAATTTGTAACAAAAAATCGCTCAGAAAAGAACACGTTTCAGGAGAAGGTATATTTATTCCCTAGAATTAGTTTTGAGGATGATAAATTCATACAAAAAAATCTTTTAGGAATGAACTAGTTCTAGAACCGTTTAATAGAACGAGTGTCAACACAATAATGCTTCCACAGAACTAGTTGCGAAGATAAAACTTTCGAACAGAAATCATTGGTCTCAACGCAGGCTTACTTACTTATTTATTACAGTCTTATTTTTAGAGACTAGACATATTTTCCTAAGAACAATTTTTAGCTTGTTTGTTTTCCTACGGATTTATCGTCGAATTTGTAAGCATAATTTAGATTCGATTTACGACTGTTAAAATCGCTTGTGTTGTTCACCATATATTCGAGCATACCTTATTAGGAACTGTTATATTTAAAGTGCTTTGTTCAATTGTTAGGAAAACTCATCATCTTCCAATGTGATAATATGTTTAATTCTCTTCCGTCGGATGTTTTAACAAACAACAGATCAAAGTTTTAATGATCTTCTAATGGATCGGGGAATATCACTATTGAAATTAATGTTTATCCGATTCTTTATTGGGTCAGCAATTGATTGAAATATTGAATTTTGAATATTTATAACAAGTTGATGTTATTGAAGGTAGTTCCCACAATCGCTTACAAGTAATTAGAAAAATTATTCACTGTAAATCGTATGAGCTTCACGGAGAAGATGACTAATGAATTAGAAAGTATTTATAAAACATAGTATTTATAAGACGTTATTAGACGACTTCTATGTAATCAGGACCATATGTAATAGACATTGAAAAGTATGTTAATAGGTAACTGCTTACCCTAGTTTTGCTGGGTACATATACATATGTATATACTTAGTTTTTAAGATCTTATTATTATGGACTTCCCTGATTTTCTGTTGGTGTCATAAAAAGCTTTTAGTGTAGTATTAAAATTTTAGATTCGGTAAATGAATGAGGAAATTCTAAAAACAAAGGATGAGTTAAACTCACGGTTAACAGAATTAATAAAATTCTGTTTAAATTATTTTAGGTATTTGAAAACTCCACTTACCAAGTATTGTTTATAGATTTATCCAAAAGAGTTTATATAGTTTATATTTATTATTCACTTTGCAATATTATTTGCTTGTAATTTTATTTAATTTTCAACAAATAAAACCGACGGATTTGATTGAAAAACAACAATGACAACAATTTAAATACAAAAAAAGGAAACGACTTATCGCATTTTAATTGCGCGCACTTTTCACACACTTTCACTGGAAACGGATATTCATGTAATTTGTCAACGACCACAAATTCAAATAACTAAACGGGACTAATAAAAAAACACACACTCACTAAGAGACAACAAAACAAAAACCCAAGCGGAAAGGAAGGTTTGTTTGCCCTTTAACGTATGCACTATTTATTTTCTTTAAGACGCGTCACTCACTCACTTACAGGTGCATGTGGATAGCTATGTATGTGTGTTTGTGGTAAGAGTTTTTTTCTCAAGTGTATTAGTTTGAAATGAAAATGAAACTGAAACAAAATTTCAATAATTTCCGCTTAAAAATTTCCGATTCCTCTATAAAGGAAGTAGCCGTCGTCGACTTCTTTGTCGTTTTATATTTTTGTTATTATTTCTTGATATTTTTTTTTTTTTTTTTGTTCACTTTATTTTTGGTTTGATTTTTTGTATGTGTCCTGGCACTACACACAAATAAGTAATAAGACAACAACAACAATAGTAATAGTAAGAGGAAGCCGAATAAAAAGTATATAATGTCAACTGTTCAACTTCTTGTTTTCTGCAAGGAAGCGCGAAGCAACAAGCTCTAGTGGCCAACTTTTTCGTATTGCGGTAACAAATGTGGTGCAGCCAGCAGTTTGTTGTCTGATGGGATATGACCACTTGCTGACAGACAATAAAGAGTTCCGTTCGTACGTGGTACGTGTTCTTTTTGCACGTCTACAAACCAACCGTATGAGAGCGAGCGCACCTTTAAGACTTTAAGTTTTTTGTCGACCAGACCGTTAAAGGTTTAAAATTTATTTAAACATGTCCTGGCATTGGATTGTCCTGACTAGTTGTTCTACTCATTTGCTGTTTTTTTTTTTTTTTTTGGTTCTTTTTTTATTTGATTTTATTTTAACCACTGAAGACGACACATACGAGTATACGAGTGTAGGTTTGTGTGTCTGGTTGTTTTTATAATGAATGTCTGTTTGACAAATCCAAATTGTGGGAGGATGGATGGCGGGCGGTAAAAATATTTGTCTTTCTGTTGTTCTTTTTTTCACGGTATTTTCTCCGACAACACTTACGTTGCGAGTTGTTGTTTGTATTTGTAGAAAATTTATCTCGGAGAGTTTCAAAACCGCAAAGTACAATTTAGAATGTATGTTTTACAAAATGTGTGTTAATGCAAGAGGACACAATTACAACAACTACCAGCTACAACCACTTTTAGTCGTAATTGTTTTAAACGGGTTTATTATGTTTTTTGTTGTCTTAGAACTATAACAAGTACAACATATACATATAACAGCATCTCTGCCTACTCTAACATTTTACAAAATGAAATACGCATTCTACTTTTGTGCACGTATTAAAATGGTGTATGACGATGATGATGGAGTAGACGATTCCTTCGTGCAAACGGTAGATCATCCATCCATTTCATTTAAAAGATGGCGTCATTTGGATGTGGTGTATATGTGTTGGTATGTGTGAACTTGTGGTTCAATAATGAATTACTCCTCCCACAATAATCGAAAACTGTTTGGAATGCAAGTGTTGTATATACCTATCATCATGATGTATAATGTAACGAGTTTCCAACCTAAAATATTTCATATTCACTTGAATATTTATCTACGTGTGTATGAAAGTAAACGTGTGTAATAAAGATTATCAAGGCTTGAACAACCACCAACGTGGTTGCATTTAACAGAAACATCTCTTACCCCATACCATTTGTTATATCAATGTGCTATTGTTGTTGTTGTTGTTGTTGTTATTTTCAATAATCCTAGATGAATGAATAAATGTCCTTTTTATGTCATCCTTCTACTTTGGCACAGCCGTTTGTGCGGTTTGTGTTTGGCGGTTTGATAAGCGACTGCGCACATCATGGATGTTTATCTCTTGATGGTGGGCGGAGTCACGCACTTTACTCGTTTATATTCCTTTAAAGTCATTACACATCCTTTTTTAGATACTTTTAGTTAAAAATTTAAAAATATGCAAAAAATATTTAAAACCTATATTTTAAAAGAGATTCTCTTACAAGTTCAATAATTTCCACTTAAGAACGAATTAAAAATATTTTATTTTCACAGCAATATTTTGCGACTACACGGATTAAAGTTAAATTTTTTTATATTTCTAAACTTCTGTTTGCGCTAATTTTGCAATAATCATTTAAATAAATATAAAATCTGTATTATTATAAAATAGATTTATATAGTGTTTTTTTAACTTCGAATTACACGGTCAAAATTATTGGAACATATTCTATATTAAACATTTTGGAAAAGAATAATATTTATAAAATTATGTATAAAATTAACTCTTGCCGCCGGATAAAATTTTTTATTTTAATTTGGATAATTATTTAATTGTTTCATCTAAAAAGAACCAGTTTATTATCTGTGGCACAGTGGTTTAGAAACTTTTATTTTCGGAAATAATTTGGTATCTTTGGAACTATTGGATATATCGCAATGAGCCGAAGAAAATTTGTTTCTATTAAAGAATATAGAACAATTTTTGGGGAAAATATTAAAAAATACGGCCCTTTTTACATATTTCAACTTTGGATGCGTCTAACTTTTTATAAGGACAATGTAACTATAAAGGAATTGTTTTTGTTTTATTCAGAATTTTGTCAGAAAACTAGAGGATATTAAAAAAAAGTAGATAGGGAAAATTTAAGAATAAAAAAATTTAAACCTAAATATCTCTTAAAGCAAAAGAGATAACCCCACCACTTTAGTGGGGAGAATATCGGGTTTGTGCTGATGTTTATAACACACAAAAATATTCGTTCCATACCCACCTTAAAGTCTTAGAATCATTTTCTGAGTCGATTAAGCTATGTCTGTCCGTCCGTCTGGCTGGCTGGCTGTCCATGTAAAGTTTACATTGTAAACCTTGTGCGCAAGGTACAGGTAGCAATTTTCAATATAATTTGATGGCATTTGGTACACGGCCCAAGGACGAAGCCTATTGAAAATGGTTAAAATCGGGCCATTATTTCACCTGGCCCCCATACAACATAAACCCCCGAAAAGGGCATTTGAGCTCATAATTATGTTAAATATACCTGTATCTCGATAAAAAGTGGCACAAATAAGTTTTATACAATCCTTGATGACCTTGCCAAATTTCATTGACCCTAGCTCCCATATAATGTCCCCTTTATAAAACGACTTGAATGTCCAAAATTTACATATAAACACCAATATCGCGATGATTTTCAGCACAAATAAATATTATATAAATATAAATTTAATCACAAATTGTATCGGGATAGGTCCATGTTTGCCCCTATCTCCCATATAAACCCTCTGTCAGAAAATTAGTTTTTAGTCCATAAATTGATTAAATATATCGGAAACAGGGTTATTTTGAAAAATAAATCACATCTAATATTTATAACTGGTGTAGGGTATCATATGGTCGGCCACGCCCGAATATGCTTTTTTACTTGTTTTTGTATATTTTTTGTAGGAGTAGTTATATATATTTTAAATTTCAGCTAAATGGATTTTTGGCGATTTTTTTTAATGTAATACCCAAGGTGATTAACTTTGAGGGGCTACCCACTGGCCCCATTCCGCCCTCGATCACCCACAACTGTTAATCAACTCAAAAACACCTCAGCTCTAAACATGTGAAATGTCATTATTGAGTGGTTCCTCTTTTATTATAATAATACTAAACTTTTAGAACGAAATATTGTTAATAAACTGTTTTTGTAAGAGGGTTTTCATGGGCGTTAGGGTCAATACATTTGTAAGAGAGATATGGTCCATGTTGAACATATTTATTATGAACGTCAAAGTATTTTTCTAAAAGGTACTTTATACATACATATGTGGGATTGTGTCAATTATACCGTCATCCGTTGGTAGAGAGATTTTGGTTTCTATAAAAGTTATTTCCCAGTAAAATGTGTTCAAATGTTGGTAATGAGTATTGTATTACTTACAAGTTATTTCATACATTACTTGGTAATGAGTGGTCGTTATCAAAACATAACAAATTGTTTATAGCGTATGTTTAATAATTAATTATTTAGCAGTTCTAACCCTAGTCGATATTAGAAGTTTTTAAAAGATAGAATGATAGAATAACTTATGAATGGAGCATTGAGTAAGAGAATATCCTAATAAACATAGAAAATTACAGTAAAGCCGTTTTTAAATCCGGAAAATTTGGGTAAGCACATTTGTAATCAGTTATTTGTTAGTCATCTTCGAACAAAAATAAGTAGTTATTCACCCAGAAAGTAAGTACTTACACTTTGCTGCAATATTACTTGCCTACTTACCGTAGGTAAATAAGTAAATATTTTGCTGGGTTATAGCCTTGTATTAGGAGGTAGGGTCAATTGTGGACTGTTTAACTCTATAAAGTTTTATGATGATACAACTTTAATAAGGTAGAATCAATTGGGAGAGTTGCTAGGGTTGACAGCCCTTGGGCGAATAATTCGGGTCATTCCGGTACGTAGAACCGGCTGTCGCGAAATGCCATAAATACCGCATGAATGTCGGTATCCTGTGACTTGGGGGGTCTCTCATCGCCCATAGCAGACACGGAAGAAAACCTGCCGAGGAAAACAAGAGTAGTTCTGGCACAATTAAGATCGTATAGACCGTGACGTCCCCAGGTTAGGGTCCTTATGACACCCACCACATATGGAAATTTGATGTTTTGATCAACGATTTCACACAGCCCCCATACAAATGCCCGCCCAGAATACTGTTTAATTCGATAAAGTTTTTATACATAGGTATTAGCTATCGTTTAGTGATAGGACCAAAATTTGGTTATACCCCTAATGTACAAACATCACAAGCTTTAATTGAATGAAAAATAATGAATATTAAAACAACAAAAATATTATAAAACAATCAAAACTCGATAGTCTTTAAGTGACGTGGTAAATCCCTATTTTTTAATAATACAAATCATGTCTAATATTATCTATTTTTCTTCACATTTTAAACACTTCTATCTTATCAAACATTAGCACACTTATGAAAAATAATATTGTTTTCTATATGGATTATTTTAAAAGCCCAAAGAATTTATTTGATGACAAATTGTTATCTTTGAATTTATTTTAATTGCAATAGAGTATTTGACTGACATTTTACCATGTAACACAACTTACCAACTTATTAAAAAACATTTTAATTTTCTGATTTAAAGTAAAACTTGAATGATTATTCTTAAAGTATGTTTCTTTTTTATTTTTATTGTTTTTTTATAAAAATACATTTCTTCCCTGTTTTGCGTTAGATGCAAAATAGAAAATATACAATAAGTATGTAGTAGATCTCAATATCAATATTTAAAAATTAATGGAACAATGAACATGGAGTGCAAATATAAACATACCAACGACTACATAACATCAATAGATAAAAACATAAGCAGCACACTGGCAACATACTGATTAAAGTTGCAATAAACATTCAAAATTTTAAATAAATATTGCAAATGCATAGAATTAAAATTAAATGCGCATAGTTAATAAAAATGGTTAAGTCACTTCAAATAGTTGCAAAATTTTTGTTTAAGATTTTAGGCCCGAAATTCCCAAGAAGAGTTATTTTTGATCAAATAGTATTAGAAGAAGTACTTGGATGCTGAAAAGTGCAGTAAAAAAATAATGAATGATAGATTTTTTTCTAATGTTCATGATGGCAAAGTCTTTTCTTTCATTTCTTTTTTTTCTGTAGAGAATTTTTTTGTGATTTTATCATTAAATACGGCTACGGGAACCTTCCTTTACACTAAACAATTTACGAACAAAGAACACCTGGAAAGAGTTGGTTTTTAAATGTTAATACATATTTGCGAAATTGTATGAAAACTTATAACTTACTTGCACAGAACAGGTAATAATAATAACAACAATTTGACAAATCGAAAATGTCTGTATGTAAGAATTATTATCAATTACTAGGGCATAATCACGTGCCTCACGATTTCTACTGTGATATTGATAGGCCAACATATCGTTGATGTTGCGTTCTACGGTGCCAATGGTTGTCTAAAAATATAGATAATTATTAGTAAATAGTAACATTTTTGACAAAAAGGAATTGTTTTTAACATTTTATAATATTAGAAAATAAATATTCCAAAGTTATGTTCTTTCAAACTGATGATCGGCATTATATTAGACTAATTAATAGACTAGTTCACAGACAAGTTAATAAACAGCACAATAGGCTAATTAAGGGACCAACTTACTGGCCCACAGACTAGTCTCCAAATAACCTAGTACATAGACTAAACATTAAACTGGTCAACATACTAACCCATAGACTAGTCCATATACTACTTAGTAAATAGTAGATAGCTCAAACTAATTAATAGACTAGTCCTATTAGTACCTACTTGTATGCCAAAACATAAATTTTTCTTAATTTTATAAAACTGCTTTAATCATCATCTAATACTCACCGTAAAGTTTTCCATATTAAGCTGCAATTCTTCAATTTCCTTGGCGTACTTATCCCAGGCATCATATTTGACCACCGTAATGTAAATGTTCACAAGTTTGCCAGCAAAACGTGAAAATTGATTATCAATACACACAGAGTAGTAACCGCCAGGAGATACTTGATCGGTGTAGTCAGCTGTAGCTTGCCATTGATAGGGCTTTACAATTTGACCGGCTGGATTACGAACGGCAAAACCAGCCATACCATCACCACCACGAACAACCTTTTACAAACATATTGAATGAAATTAAAGAATTGCACACAAATATTTCTCCAATTCTATACAACTTACGCTGAATGAAACATAAAATGTTGCTCCAGGCTGTACATATTGATGGTAGCAATCTTCTTTTCCGGCATCTATGTGGACCTGTTGCACGACAGGATGCAATGAATGAATAAAACATAGAAAAAAACATGCATGAACAATTTGACATATTCGGCTTTATGTTCCATTTGTTGCAATATTTACCTTGTAGTCCATGGCCACAGCCGGTAGATTTTCATACCATGGTTTGGGCACTTCTTGTGAAACAATTTGTGTTGCTACAATTTTTAAAAATATTATTAAAATAATTGCGCAAAGGGAATTTGTTTGCCACGTAGAAATATGCATTTTTGCCTTTCGTCTTGTTTTGATTAATAAACAACACAAACACAAATTTGACTTTCACTGTCAAATCAGAATAACAACAACAAAAATTACATGAGTGTAGCATGAGTGTTAATAATTTAAGGTGAATGCACGAAGTAGTTTTAAAAGTATCAACACTGAGCGAATGCTATTTGTAAAATTACTACTACTTGGTAGAGGGCGCTGTTAGCAGGTATATGGCATCAATTGTTTTTATTGTTGACAAGAACCCTTTACAAGTAATAAGACTATGGAAACAAGTGTTGCATATTTTAGGGAAAAATTAAATAAAAAGGTTTATATCGTGGCTATAGAAAAATATGTGGGGTTACAAGCTAGTAAATTAAAAATAATTCAACTACTGGTGGTAAACTGAACTAGAACTGATGTAAAACTGAACTAGAACTGAACTAGAACTGAACTAGAACTGAACTAGAACTGAACTAGAACTGAACTAGAACTGAACTAGAACTGAACTAGAACTGAACTAGAACTGAACTAGAACTGAACTAGAACTGAACTAGAACTGAACTAGAACTGAACTAGAACTGAACTAGAACTGAACTAGAACTGAACTAGAACTGAACTAGAACTGAACTAGAACTGAACTAGAACTGAACTAGAACTGAACTAGAACTGAACTAGAACTGAACTAGAACTGAACTAGAACTGAACTAGAACTGAACTAGAACTGAACTAGAACTGAACTAGAACTGAACTAGAACTGAACTAGAACTGAACTAGAACTGAACTAGAACTGAACTAGAACTGAACTAGAACTGAACTAGAACTGAACTAGAACTGAACTGGAACTGAACTAGAACTGAACTAGAACTGAACTAGAACTGAACTAGAACTGAACTAGAACTGAACTAGAACTGAACTAGAACTGAACTAGAACTGAACTAGAACTGAACTAGAACTGAACCAGAACTGAACTAGAACTGAACTAGAACTGAACTAGAACTAAACTACAACTTGTACTAGAACAAAAACAGAATGGGAACTAGGTGTTAAAGAAGTTCCCAAAATTAAACCCATTTAAAATGCTACTATTTTTTTGTTTCCAAACATGTGCTTTTTTATTTTATTTACCAATCATAAATCTCCTTCTCTTTTCTTTACTTTTCTATTCTTTTTTTATTTTTTTTGGTTTTATTTTAATATTATATAGTTGTTGTTTTTGTTTATTTATTATTATTATTTTGTATAATTTAAATGCATTGCTATGTTTTTTTGTTTATTTATATTATGTTGGTTTTTTGCTTTTATTATTCTTTTATGCTCAATGAATCTTTATTATGTTGTTTCTTCTGGTTTTTTTCTTTGCTAAATATTTTTGCTAAATATTCTTCACTGTCATGATCATGAATTTGTTCAAGACGATTATCGATCAATGATTGAAATTCATGAATGAAGTTGTTTAGTTTTGTTTATTTTTTGTTTTGCCTATAAGTGTGTATGTATGTATATGAATGTATGAGTGTGTATGTGTAAGTGATAGTGTGAGTTTGTATCCTTGTGTGTAAAATGAATATTTATTTTTTATTTGTTATGCATGTTTTGTTGTTGTATGTATAAAGATGCGATTGACAATTTGTTGATAATACTACAATTTTGTTTATTTATTTAATTATTATTTGTTGTTGTTGGTTTGGTTGCATTTGGTTGGTGATTGATATTTGTATTATTATTTATTATTCTTTATTTATACAATGAAAATAGTTGTTAATTTTTTTGGTATAATTTTTTAATATTGTATTTTATTATTTTATTTTTAAAGAAAAAGTCGTTAGAAATGCCAATATTTTAAAAAAGCAAAATTAAATTATTTAAAATTATTTATTAATGAAATGATTATGAATTTTTTTCTAGTTGTAATAAAAAAAATTTATAACATGAGTATTTTATAAAGTGAGCCTTGAATAATTTTTTTTATTCATTTTTTTTTTTATTTTTTTATTTTAAACTTTAAATTGAAAAATAGTAAAAATTCTAAATTTTATTTAATAAACTGGGTAGGGGAGAGAAAATATAAACCAAATTTTTGTTTTATGCCTTTTTTTGCTATACTTTTTTGTTTTCTTTTAGATTTTTGTTTGTTAAGTAATAGAAATCGTAAAAAGGACAAATAGTAAAATAATGCTTGGCTTACGTATGGTTTTATTTTTTCTTTTATTTTATTTTAGCTTTAACTTTTGTTTAAATTTTTTGTTCAATTTGTTTTTATTTTTATATGTAAATATAATTTTTGTTTATATATAATTTATGTATATTTTGTTTTTTTATTTTTATTATTATTTTATTTGAGTACAAATGCTAATAATATACATACAGTAATTTGTTAATATTTATTAATATTATTTTTCTTTTTCTTTTACCTTTCCTTTTTATTTTTTAACTTTCAATATTGCGCCTATAATTCTGTATGACACTCTTTTGACTCGGTCTGTGGTCCGTCACGACTTCTATTTCATTTTGGTCATATGTCAACATTTCATTTATTTAAATAATTTATTTTACAAAAATAATTTCTTTTAAAGTATTAAAATTTTATTTAATTAAATTATTAAAGTTTAATTTGATTTAGTTTTTGTTGACAAAAACCCTTTACATGTAATAAGAAAATTAATTAACAAGGTTTATATCGTGGCTATAGAAAAATTAATGGGGTTACAAGCAAGTAAATTAAAAATAATTCAACTATTTGTGGTAAACTGAACTATAGCTGAACTAGAGCTGAACTAGAACTGAACTAGAACTGAACTAGAACTGAACTAGAACTGAACTAGAACTGAACTAGAACTGAACTAGAACTGAACTAGAACTGAACTAGAACTGAACTAGAACTGAACTAGAACTGAACTAGAACTGAACTAGAACTGAACTAGAACTGAACTAGAACTGAACTAGAACTGAACTAGAACTGAACTAGAACTGAACTAGAACTGAACTAGAACTGAACTAGAACTGAACTAGAACTGAACTAGAACTGAACTAGAACTGAACTAGAACTGAACTAGAACTGAACTAGAACTGAACTAGAACTGAAGTAGAACTGAACTAGAACTGAACTAGAACTGAACTAGAACTGAACTAGAACTGAACTAGAACTGAACTAGAACTGAACTAGAACTGAACTAGAACTGAACTAGAACTGAACTAGAACTGAACTAGAACTGAACTAGAACTGAACTAGAACTGAACTAGAACTGAACTAGAACTGAACTAGAACTGAACTAGAACTGAACTAGAACTGAACTAGAACTGAACTAGAACTGAACTAGAACTGAACTAGAACTGAACTAGAACTGAACTAGAACTGAACTAGAACTGAACTAGAACTGAACTAGAACTGAACTAGAACTGAACTAGAACTGAACTAGAACTGAACTAGAACTGAACTAGAACTGAACTAGAACTGAACTAGAACTGAACTAGAACTGAACTAGAACTGAACTAGAACTGAACTAAACTGAACTAGAACTGAAACTCGAACTGAACTAGAACTGAACTAGAACTGAACTAGAACTGAACTAGAACTGAACTAGAACTGAACTAGAACTGAACTAGAACTGAACTAGAACTGAACTAGCACTGAACTAGAACTGAACTAGAACTGAACTAGAACTGAACTAGAACTGAACTAGAACTGAACTAGAACTGAACTAGAACTGAACTAGAACTGAACTAGAACTGAACTAGAACTGAACTAGAACTGAACTAGAACTGAACTAGAACTGAAACTAGAACTGAACTAGAACTGAACTAGAACTGAACTAGAACTGAACTAGAACTGAACTAGAACTGAACTAGAACTGAACTAGAACTGAACTAGAACTGAACTAGAACTGAACTAGAACTGAACTAGAACTGAACTAGAACTGAACTAGAACTGAACTAGAACTGAACTAGAACGAACTAGAACTGAACTAGAACTGAAACTAGAACTGAACTAGAACTGAACCTAGAACTGAACTAGAACTGAACTAGAACTGAACTAGAACTGAACTAGAACTGATCTAGAACCTAAACTAGAACTGAACTAGAACTGAACTAGAACAGAACTAGAACTGAGCTAGAACTGAACTAGTTTTTGACAGTGATTTTACAAAGTAGTTAAATAGAATAAAATTTAACCTTTTTAAAAAGTGTAAAATCAATTTTAAATGAATAAGTACTTGACCATTCCGCTTACGTAATCGGGAAAACTGTTTGACAATTTAGCTTTTTAAGAAGATGGTATTAGAAATTTAGTAAATTTAAGCATAATATCGATATCAAAATGGTAGAGAGAGAGCTTATTCGATCATGTATGCTGCCCCAAAAAATCTTTAAATTCGGGTCTCGATCAGTCAGTTATCTAGGTGCTTCAATTTTTTTCAAATTCAAGCATCAAAAAATAAAAATTGAAAAGCAGCCTAACGAATCAGAATACTAAACCGGAACTTTGGGAAATTTTGATGACCAAAGTAATTTGATAAATGCCTTTGACATTTGAAAGGCATAGGCAAAAATACTGTAATCTCCATTTCTTAGCAAGAATTAATTGAAATAATAGAACGTGAAAAATTGGAGATTCCAGCCCTTGTTTCTACTTTCTCCGCATTCTTTAATCAAATTTGAATACTCGACTGAACGAGTCATTTTGTTTTTGACATTTCTTGATCTGGGGGGAACATTTTTCAACAGTTTTGAATGTCGGTCTTTGCCATTTTATCACGCTTTCAGAACGATTGCAAATTATTCAAAGTTTACTTTCTATCGCAAAACAATGTAAACGAAACCATCCAACAATGGATGAATGTGCGATTTAAACCCTTTAGACTTATTTTGTTTGGTCTAGCTGTAGAAGAAGAGCTGTAGGTCAACAGCAAACCCAAAATTCGTTCGATTTGTGTGCTCCAATTTTGGAACCCCCTATGTAAATAATCAAAACGATTGCATTTTAATTTAAAATATAAATTAATTCCACAACTACTCTAAAAATTTTTTGATTGAAAAAACATTATGCATCGCTCTTAATGGCAGACCCTATATAAGATAATATAATTCCATATTTGATTTTTATGGGTAACTTTAAAAACGCCTCCACTGTCTACTTTCATTTATTAACTCCTACAATTTGAGGAAATAATAAAAATGTTGAAATAAGTCCTTGTCCGGGTACATTTCTTCTATATATACTTAAGTCATTCCTGCTAACAATCCTTTTTTAAAACATTCCTAAAATCTTTTATTTTTACTTTATAAATTATATAAAATCAATTAAACAAAGAAAGAAAGAAATAAAGTAGAAAAAAATAATGAAATATTTATATAATTAATTTAATGAATTTTTTGTTTTTTTTTATTTTTATAATTATATTTATTAAAGTATTTGTTGTTGTTGTTTTTTCTTCTAACTTATACAAACCTACACACAAACATATAATCTCTTAAGATCATTACAAAAGTGTGTTTGTTTGCATAAATGTTTGGTGTCTAGACTAAGTATCTTCGTATAAAATTATTATTATTATTATTATTTAATTATTTAAATATTTATTTGTTTATCTTTATAATAATTTTAATAATAATTTATTATTAATTATTTTTAGGCAAAAATATATGTATGTATACACTATAAAATGAGTATATTTTGGTAGGACAACAACGGAATTTTGCAGTAACCGGCCATTTTAATATTTTGTTTTGTTTTTTTTTTTTTTTTTAATATTATTTAATTAATTATTTTTAATCAGTCACTTCCGTGTTGTTATTTAAAAATATATATTGTATATATTTTTTTAAATATATATTAATTTTTTATTTATGTAATAAATATGTTTTATTTTATATTTTTGTTAAGTATGTTTTTTAATTCTTTATTTTTTTTTAGAGTAGAAAATTAATTATTTTTTAAATTTTAATTAAATGTATATATAATTTTGTGAAAAGATTTGTATGGCCGCTTTAAAAATAAAACTGTAAAATTAAGAAGTTTTTTAATAAAAAATTCAGAATTTATTTTTGTTATTTTTTTTTATTTGTATCGCTCTATAGTTTTGTAACTTTAAACTTTTTTAAAATTTATTTTTTAAAGTTTTTATTTTCGTATTTATGTATTTTTGCATCATCATTTAATAGAAGCTCAGCATTTTTTTATAATTCAACTATATATTCTTTTGTTGTTGTTCTTGTTGTTGTTGTTATTGTTGCATATACTATGTTAATGTTTGTTGTTGTATATATGTATTGTATGGTTGTATTAATGTGTTATTAATAATTTAATTTTTATTCCTTTTGTTATGTATAAGTAGATTTAATTTAGTATAATTTTATGTATATTTCTCTTAATTTCTCTTTCATTTTTATTATTTTTAATATTTTTGAGGAGGGTTTTGTTTTGAAAAAAGTCATGTTTGTTGTTGTGTTATTAGCAAAATATAAAAAAAGTTAAAAGTTAATTTTTTTTTAATAATAAATAATAACATAAGAAATCAGAATTATAGTTTTGAAATTAAAGAGTATTCAAAGAAGGTTCCATACTCTTATTATTGCAGCGGGAGTATTATTATTGTTGTTGTTGTTTTTATTGTGGTTTTGTTTCCAAGAGTTTTCATCATTATCATAATATTGAATTTGTATAAAAATTCTAAGACTTAGCATCAGAACAAGAAGCTGTTGGTTTGTGTGTTTTACACTATTTGCAGTAAATCATCAGTCGCATTCGGGTCCATCGGAGAAATGACCGCGCACATCAAGCGCTGTTGCCAATTGAAATATTATGTGTGAAAGTGTGGGATGTTCCAGCAGATCTGTGGATGGCAATGGTGGTTCACAACGTGGTCTCATATGTCTGCCACGAAAACCACGATGTAATCGTAGTACAACATCACAGAATACAAAACGTAAGATTAGAGTACGTAAAAAATCATCACCAAAGAATTGGACATACGATGAATCTGTAAGAGGAGAGTGATAAAAATGTTGTAGTTATTTGGAAAGCTTTGTCTTTAATCAGAATAACAACGATTAATAGTTTGCTAAGGAACCGGGAAAAGAACCAATATACTATACAGATGATTTCATAATACTTCTAAGGGCAAGAATTCATGGGACAAGATGTCTAAGTGCTTAACGTGAACACCGACCTTGACGGCCCTATTTCACGGTGGTCTTTTTCACCTACTGGGTAGACTAGTGACGGTCTACCATGCGCCTCTGAATCCTTCTATGAAGAATTCAGGTGTCAATTTGTACCGGTTCGAGCTATCTAATCTCTTGTCATAGTAGCCCCAACATTAGATGAAATCAATCTTCCGGTACACCGGAAGGTGACCACCGTTTTGATGTCATGAAAGATTGCATTATTTAAAATGCATTCCGTATCAACTAATGACCCATTCCAGTGCATTCCTTAACCTTTTAAAGCCCGCGCAACCACACTAGTCCGAAATACCCAGTCAATAATGTGATAAAGGATGTAGGAATTTCTAAAGTCAATTCGAACCCAATAATTGCCCCGACAAGTTGAATGGCAGGTCTCAACCATAAGTCGCGTAGCATGAAACAATATGCATACTCTTAAGATGGCAACAGCACCGAGAACTTCCCTGAATTAAAAGGTCGACTAAATCAGTACTAACTAGTTTCCTGTCGGGCAAAGGAGTCTTTCCCGATCGTTCACCAAATTACATCAGTTCCATTCTCAGATCAAAATGAACGATCTACGGAATGACAGGCAACTACCAAGTGTCAACCTGAAAATTCCTCAACCTATACTGGTGCCCTACTACGCGAAGAGTAAAAGATACTCAACGGGTACAGGAATACAGCATAAGTTGCTCTATCACATCACCCATTGACATGGGTTAATTTATTTAAAACGATTTCTTATTCAAATTAGTTATGTAGAAGGGTCTAGGAGATCCTGAACACGGCCAACCCTGAGGGCTGACTGTTAACCCTGAGGGCTGACTGTTAACTGAATTTTCATAAGAAAAACAACAAGAATGGAGTTACAAGAATGGGTGAGACGATCCCACTTTTGGAATAATAACATACAGTTTAATGACCGATTGAACGGATACTAAAACTGGTGTCTACATTGTAGAGATAAACAAGACAAGTCTTTCTTAATGAAGCATCCTCGAGGCTAAGGATAACATGATTGCCTTAAAATTCGAATCGAAAAGAACTTCCAAATCTGGTTTTGAGAGTTAATCCGATCAAGAGGAAGATCTGTGATTACTAAAGAGTTATATATAAGATGTTTTGGAGCAATACAAATCAATCATAGAACAGTAACAGAAGTTTCAAGTGTCAGAGGCCTTTGGTCGTTAGAAGTAGAAGCTTATGATAAATTTTACTTAATCGCGTAGGCGGTTATTCGGCCCATTCTTTTAGGATGTAAGAATGACGAAGAGTATACGACTGTAGAGATTTATATTTCTGGAGGATAAATACCACGATGGATATTGCATATTTACACTTTTTCTTTACTCTATATAAAGAAATCATAATGAACCCAATTAGTCTCCGATCCTGAAAACTACAGAGATTTCGATTGGGCAATTTTGTCGTAATGAATTTGACTTTAAAGTCTCTAAATAAATATTGAAATATTGAAATGTAATACTTTCAAAATGTTGAAAAACGATGTTAGTCTTACAGGCACCTCAAGACAATAACTTATTGTTTTATTGGATCACTTTACCTATATAGCCTTGGTCAATTTCATCGATGCGACATCTTGTTACTAAACGCGAAGCTTCGGTTATAAAATGATCCACATACGATTGACAACGTTCCCAGTGATGTATGGGCACATCGCCAACATTGCAAATATAACACAATGCGGTAAGAGGAGAATGCAGGAATAGAGTAAATAATGAACCATGATGCTGGACTTCAGCTGAAAATTAAGATAAAAATAAACATGTTATCTAAAACCTAAAAAGTTCTTAAGTATATTAACAAACCAACCTTGAAATGCTGGTGGTACATCTTGAGGTGACATGAGAACAACTAAAGGTTGGCCAAAATAACGTGGTATATGTTGAAAAACAAATGAATTATCAGAATCGATTATAATGAACATCGGTCTACGGGTGAAGGGATACAAGTCGCCGGGATATAAACAGTGCGTTTCTTTATAAGATTTCCCTCGACATGCCAAACCGCCACCATCCACACCGTCACGTTTAACGCTGGTGGCCAAACCACCCAATTCATAACCATCTTGAAATATAAAAAAGTTAACGGATAAAAGTTTTTACAAAGATAATTGTGTTTAAGTAAAACTAACAGTCTTCTGGATGTTTAGTGGTTGAAAAACAACCATCTGCTGACATGTATAAAAGTAAAGCGCCTCCAGGAGGCAATTCTTTAAAACCACTAGCTAAGAATACCAGAAGTTGACTTATCGAAGGCTTATACAATAAATATTTATGAGGATTGTCTCGATAATGGCGGCTATTTTCTAAATAACCCTTGGAACCTGGAACACCATATGGTGGTATACGACTGGCCGCCGGACTGGCATCGTGCCCGTGCAGGCCATGTGAAGCACTCATAGGATGTGTAGTTTCAGTTGGTTCCCGCTCTAAGGTCTGTAACATTCTGCAAATGGTAAAGAAAATATTGAAGTGACAAGTTAAGCTTAAGTTTATTCTATGGAGTTACTTACCTAAACATGTCCATTGTTAACTCGGAAAATTTGGCCTGTTCACATGCTGAGCCCACTATAAGTATTTCTTGCAGACTTAACGTCATATGGGGCGATCTTTCACATGGCGGTGTCGTTAACGGCGACAACCTAGAACCGGAACCACTAATCATCAATGGGTGAAGTTTTACTATTTAAAAAAGCTCTTGCAAAGGCCCGTGCTTTCACAGAAGAATTGATTTAATTAATGTGAGAGATGCTAATGATATTTGTGATTTTAGGTGGACATGGATGGATGGATATTTGGTGAATTCCTTCTTTTTTTTTTTTGCAAAATCCTTGCATTTCACATCCAAAACACACACCTTTTTTCATTCTTTTTTTTATTTAGTTTAACATAAATGAAATATTGAACGTGCAAGAATTTTGATTTCTTTTAGTATCGATTTGATTATGTTAAATGTAGTTGTGATTATGAGAATATTCAGTGTTTGTGAAAAGGTAAGAACTAGAGTTTTTTAGAAAAGATCTGGTAAAAATTGATCACGTTAGATTAATTTGGTGAAATTTCAAAGAAGTTGTATATGTTGAAAAAATTTGCCATAATAGTTTTAAACAATTTAGTAATTATTGAACCATTAAGATGTATATATTTTTTAAAAAACATAATCTCTCATGAGTTGTATCAATATATATATTTTTAAATATTTGATTGGCAATGTTTTACTCTGCCCCATTTTTTGCTCATTTAAGACATTGAATTTGTTTACTTTATAGTTCAACGTCGAGACAGTTCCGACATTAAAATTTCGAAGTAGCTGGCAGATGTTTTGATTTGATAGAATTATTTGAAAGATGTTCTGTTATGCTTTATTGTAGCAAAAATTATATTGATATTGAGTATAATATTTCGTACCTTCTCTTTATGTTTCTTGTATGTATGATTTTTGGGGTGGCACTTACTTTGAATTGAACTTTTTGTAAATAATACGATTTTTTTGTGAAAAACTTATTAAAATTAAATTTTTGGTGAAATTATGGATTTTAAGTGAAAACTCAGATTTTCATTAAAAATCTTATTTATAGTGAAGAATCGGATTTTTAGTAAAAACTCGGATTTTTAATAAAAAATCTAATTTTTAGTGAATATCAGAATTTAGTGAAATATCGGAATTTTAGTAAAATATCAGTTTTTTAGTGAATTATCTGATATTTAGTGAAAACCCCTAATTTTAATGGAAGATCTGACTTTTAGTGAAATATCGGATTTTAGTGAAATACCTGATGTTAGGTGAAAAATCTGACTTTTAGTGAAATATCTGATTTTAAGTGAAAAATCTGTCTTTTAGTGATATAAAACTCAACTTTTAGTGAATATCAGAATTTAGTGAAATATCGGAATTTTAGTAAAAATTTAGTGAATTATCTGTTATTTAGTGGAAACCCCTAATTTTAATGAAAGATCTGGCTTTTAGTGAAATATCTGATTTTAAGTGAAAAATCTGACTTTTAGTGATATAAAACTCATCTTTTGGTGAATATCAGAATTTAGTGAATTATCGGAATTTTAGTGATATATCAGATTTTTAGTGAATTATTTGATTTTTAGTGAAAACCCTTAATTTTAATGAAAGATCTGACTTTTAGTGAAATATCTGTTTTTAGTGAAATATCTGATTTTAAGTGAAAAATCTGACATTTAGTGATATAAAACTCAACTTTTAGTGGATATCACAATTTAGTGAATTATCGGAATTTTAGTTAAATATCAGATTTTAGTGAATTATTTGATTTTTAGGGAAAACCCTTCATTTTAATGATAGACCTGACTTTTAGTGTAATATCGGATTTTAAGTGAAAAATCTGACTTTTAGTGATATAAAACTCGACTTTTAGTGAAAAAATAGAATTTCCACAAAAAAAATAATTTCACTGAATAATAAAAATGTTCACCAAAAATCAGATTTTAACTCAAATGTTAAAATAAAAAAAGTTCTTTTCTAATTAAGTGCCTCCCTAATAATGACTGAATATTAATGTATGTTTCCCCATGTATGGTTATGATCAATATTTTGAGAGTATGAATATGTTTAAGTGTGGGTGGGTGTGTGTGTGTGTGTATGTATTTCTTTAGTTTCAAAATGTTCGATAAAAATGTTTGGTAACGGCAAATGTTTATTTGTGAATGGGTGAAATTGTTTCAAGTCTTCTGTGATAAGCACAATATTATTTACTGCCATTAACAACAAAAATAAAAACAAAACATTTTTAAACTTAAAATTTTGTTATAAATATAACAAAAATTAAATATATAGTTAAATAAACTTATATTAGTATAATTAAAAAACAAATAATTAAGGAAACTTAAGCAAAACTAGTATACCTCCCAAATCATATTGAAAAATTTTTAAAATTTTGCTCATTCTTCAATTTGGAAAAGTTTAATGAAATCATAACAAAACATAAAAAGTTAAATTTAAAACAAACCATAAAAATCAATTTAAATCGAATTATTGTTGTTTTGATTATATATTTTAAATTTTTCCTTCCCAAAGAAAGCACGGGCAAAGTTGTTGGTAGCAAAGAGATAATGGTCTCAATAAATTATACCTGTGTGAGAGTACGATGGGATTGGAATCCGCATGAAGAACAGCTACAGCAGCCTCAGCTTTAATAAAACCTTTGATTTCTTCCAAAACTAAGGACCATTCTAAATGATCTTCAGGTTCATAACTGCAAATAAGAGAATTAGTTAATGTTTTATATTATTATATGTTTGTTATATATTTTTCTTAATAATAAATGTTTACGTGGTGGTATATTCCTGTATTTGTTTCTCCAGTTCGGTTACCAATTCGCGCACCAATTTCATTTTCTTCAATAACAAACAAACCACTATAAAACGTGCATAATAACGCAGCTTTTTCACCATTAAATCGGGTCGATCTTCTTTAATCGCTCGAGAATAATACGCTCTACCTCTAATAGCGGCATAAAATTGATACGCTTCATTCAGGTAATTCGTTTCACTGGTTCTTAAACTGTAATTTGAGAAGAAGACAAATTTAATTATAATTTTTATACTTTCTAATCTAAATTACATATTGTTAAGAATTCTTGTTTTCTCGAAATCTATAGAGAGCTCTTTTGTTGGGTACTATTAGTCGATTTTGTCATAACAACAGTTTTTTTTCTAGTCTTTAGATAAATATGGAAATATAAAACTAAGAGCTTTCAGAAGAATACTTTCAAGAATCAAGTGTAAGCCTTACCGGCATTTCGATACCATCTCTAATCTAGTCAGTATATGAGACCGCCACTTTCTAAGATCTACTTATACAAAAGTTGTTTCAAAATTTTATAAACGTCAAAGACATATATAACTTGTCTCTGTCTAAAACTATAAACAAGGCATTCTCTTACTCATGTGTGTCCTGAACTCAATTCCCGGACCAATTCTATCCGAAAACAGAAGTATTTTGTATACGCTACACTACTATATTGTCGATTAAGCTATGCCCGTCTGGAAAGCAACGATCTTTATTCCCTTAAAGTTTACAGATAAACTTTTACAAAAATGCATTTCGTAGACACAAAAATCGTTGTCTCATGATCGGTCTACAATTAGGCATATGTAGGTCTCACGTCGGTATCGAAATACAATTTTACAAGAATGGTCTTATAATGTTTTGAAATCAAATTATAGGATTATCTGATGATCGGACAAATACTGATAATAACTCCGATACAAGGCTTACTTTTTGTACGATATAAGTATTGCTTAACCGGCAGCGTAAACAATTTAGTTCTCTGAAACTATTCGAAAACTTATGTATATGGGCAATTTCATATCAAGTGACCCAACTCAAAGAATCGATTTTGACGAAATATGCACCAAGGTTAGTATTATTGGATAGTAGGCCAGACACATTTCAGCGCTATCGGTCCAGAACTGACATACTTAGAGGCGGTCAAAGTTGAACTTTTTGGTCATACAGGGTTTGGTCCTAGCAAATATTGTCCTAAGGAGTTCAGATATATAATTCTTTATGACCCATATATATTCGGATTCTGACTTTTTTCCGTTGAAATGTTGGATTGAGTCAAAATTCAGTTGTTGCAATATTAAAAATCTTTTTTCAGGGTCAGGGTTAAACTTTCGTAATTTTTATATAGAACACAATTTATAGTCACACACTTACTAGTAATGATAATAAAGCTGTCCAATTTTGCTTGCAATTTCTCCTATTTGCCATCGCTTTAAGCCATATTTCGAATCTAAGACCATGCGATGTTGTTGCTGAAATTTCCATAATTTTGTGTAGACATCAAAGGTGCGACCAAAATAGGCCTGCCATTGACGATGGCCATACTGGGGTAAATCTCTGTAAAATAAAAATAATATTCAGAAATTGGAGAAAGAAATTAGCAAAATTAGAAAAAGTTTTTACCTTAAACCATTAAATAGTTGTTTGGATTTTTCCAGCAAATGTATAAACTCCAAGACCAACTTTCTATCCTGTTCTTCTGTGGATTCCATTTTCACCATACCGTTCTTTAATTCAGTTGTGTTATGTTGCTGTCGTTAAAGAACTGCAATGAAAAAGCAAACAATCCATGTAGTTGTAGCATAAATATTTTATAAATGCAGATTTATTTAAATTGTTAACGAACACAAAGAATAATAAAAACCTACTAAATAGTATTAATAAAACATTGGCCAAAGTAATTTAATTAAAAAAAATATATGTATATAAAATAAAATAAAAACAGACAGCTTTTGTTAACAATGAAATGGACATTTTGATTGAATTTTATTAAAATTGAATTGATTTTTTCTTTATGCCCTACGCTCAGTACTAGAACACTAACAACTGAATAAAAAGATTTATCTACATATGAATGTTTACTCATTTATCCACTTTAAATGCATCTGGCAAACAATATTGACCGATTATAGTTTGATTTTATTATTTCTTTTGGGGGTTTTCTTTTCTGTTTTTTTTTTTTGTTGTATTTTGTGATTGTAATTGTTTTCAAACAATCATAAGCTTATTTCCACATGTTACCATATGACTACCAAAGAGGCCTCTAAAAACACTTGATATTGATATAAACGAGAATATTAGTGCACTTATTATTGCCAACAAACGATTGAGTACTTAAACTATTGAAATATACTCTACACACACACACACACTTTTACACTTACTCACTGGTTTTTTGTAATATTAAGTCCCTCAATAGTCACTATCGGTGGTGCCACAAAAAAAAAAGAAACAAATATAAAAACCTACAAACTAAATCAACCAGCCTAGACTAAAACTGATTTTCAACCAACCAACGATTCATTCATTCATCCCCATTGAGATGAAATTCAATAATTTTTTTTTGTTTTGTTTAAAAGTACTCACTCGTACGTATACGTACTACGTACTACTAGTATGAGTTGTGGAAGAGAATGATGATGATGATGATGATAAAGATGACATCATATGAAACAATATCAGATTGTTTTTTATTCCAACATTGTTTCTTTGTATGATGTGCCAGTATTTACAGACATTCAGTTACAGCATCTACAACTATATAATTGTGTATCTTTATGGAAATATTAGGTTTCTTAATTAATCGATTACTTTTAGATTAAAGTAAATTTTTAGTATAAAAATCTAGAAAATAGCAGAGTAAACATAATTATGAACTTTTTAACCAGACTTTATATGACAATACCTCTCCATTTTAGTTTTCAATATAATTTTGAAAATAATTAGAATTTTCAATTTGTACTCATAAGTTTATATTTGTATCTGAAAAATTTAATCCCAATTTATATATTGGCCGTTTTCGAAATCTTGGACTTATCTTGTTACTATAACAAGTCTTAAAATTAAACATTTTTCAAATTCAGTTACATTTAAGAATTCTTAAATACATTAGGAAATGGTGTATTCGATTTACATATAAATATGATTAAGAAAATAAATTGATTGACAGTCAGGCCATTTGACTAAGCGTAAGTCTTTGTGTACTTAAATATGTAGATATGTACATTCATATGTATGTCTGTTGTCATTTACGTTTGCCTATTAGTTTGTTTGTATTTCTATTTAAGATCTTTAATAACAATCTAATCACTCTTATAGAGTATCTTTATGCATTTTATATTTATATAGTTTTTTTTTCATTTTACTTTGTTCAATTCTTATCCAATAATTAGTTGCTCTTATAAACTTTAGCCTTAAGTAATCGATATTACACACAATATTTCAATAAATGAATTCTATAAGAATTATTCATATACATATATTTTTTTGGCATTCAAATTGTAATCAAAAAGAAATAAGATGAAAATACTAAAGTAAATATTTATTTCAGAGTTTAGTTTGGCAGTAGCTTTACTATATACTTATACTATTGAGAATATGAAAACATATTAAAGTGTGGAAAGTCATAGTGCTGTAGGAAAAGATGTCAAATATTCTCCTAAAGAAATCTGTTGATAAGTTTAAATTTTTCGTACGATTTGTTACAAGTTGCTAAAATGATGCCCATGACAGATAGACGTATCATTCTTGGTATAATTGGTTAATAACTTCTAATAACACAGGTCGACAAAATTTTAAAAAAGTCGAAAGCCTGGAATCTAGTTAAACCTTTCTAAAGGATTGAGCTGCGCTGAATGCGAATCCTCAGATTTTCTCCATCAAGCATATTTGCGATATCGTGTCCTTTTTACCCTTTTTTGAGACGTTATAACAGTGCCATGACAACTTTATTTATAAAATGTAAATGTATGCCATCTGAAAGTCCATTCTGTCAACTTTAAAATAAAGGCATATCTTCTTTCATCTTCCGGATATCTTCACCTAAAACTTGAAAACTCATGGTTTTCGGTTTATTCATTCATTATTCATACTCCTGCACTACTAAAGTGTGGAGAATATTATGCTTTGTAAATTTTGTTTAAAACAAACAAAAATATTGGATCCTCAACTACCTGATGATGTTCTAATCAATTAAAGCACTTTTTTAAAATGTGTAGGGTATTATATAGTGATCGTATATCATGCCCAACTATACGATCAAACCTGTTACATATCCAAAAATATAGGGAAATATGTTTTTGTTTTAATTTTGATCTCTTATACGACAATTTCGAACCAATTTGATACTGAATACATCTGGGGCCTTCAGAAAAGTGATTTCCACAAATATATGGTCAGACGGACATCGGCAAATCTACTTCACTTTCTATAAAGATTCAGACTATATACATATACAAACTTATTAATACCATATTTACGGAGATAAGGGGTATAATAACTGAAGAAGTCCAATTCTTAAAAATCGAAAACTTTATATATAAAGAATGATATATACATACATATATTGAACATAATATTGACCTAAAAGGAGACAAGTAACACCTTTGTGCTAGGTCCTAAAATTAACCCAAAAAAAACTCGATCTTAGTTACAATATAAAAATACAAATTAATTGCTATTTTCTTAACAAACAATTTTAATGACCCGAAATTGGTTAACTTCAAAGTTTTCCCACTACTCACAGTATTTATCCATTCAACATGACAAAGATAAAAGTTTTTTCTCTTTTACTTTTAATGGCAAATTGATGAAGAATATATTTTAATAACATAAATCACATGGACTCGTTAAAGTGAAAAACTGTTGGCGCCTTTGTATAAAATAATTGTTGGTTTTTATATCAAACTATAAAACGATAGGTCTAGTATTTATAGTATTTTGTATATAAGTATGTTTGTTTGTGTGTGTATGTGTGTTTGTAGAGTTTGTATGTGCACGTGTAAAGTTCACAGTGGTGGACACATTGATTTTCATTCTATAGAGAAACTGGGTCACAATAAAACCCATCATTGTTATTAACATCAGATCCGAATTTAGCATCACGCAATAATAAAACTGTTTGTAGTATTTGCATAAAACAAAAAAAAAAAAAAAAAACAAAAAAAAATGAATAGAAAATAAACTAGCCGCTTATTTTACTTTATTTTTACTTTTAACTTTACAAACATTTAAGGACAAACTCGGTGTAGCATACATATTTACGCATACATATTCATACAATTTAATACATAGAATAAACATACAATGTACATAGATAAGTAATAGAACAGTATTGTGCGAATCCTAAGCCATTTTTTTCAAAAGAGCACAATTTTTTCTCGCCAGTCCCCATGAGAACCAGCTGGTGTTCCTAATAAAATCGATCATATTTACTAGTGACGCGGCACTTGGGGAATGGACAAATAAACCTTGTTGGCTACCTATAAAACAATTTGCCGGTCAGTGGTCAATTATGCTGCTCCATACATATGCTGCTGACTGATACCCAGTGGAAAAATATTCAAAGCTGCCAAAATGCTGCCCTACGGACTGTAACGGGCTGCATGCAAATAACCTCGGAGCACCACCTACAGAGGAAACGAAGGTCCTCCCAGTCAAGGAACATAATGTCATGCTGACTAAACTCCTGGGATGTCACCCAACTTCAACCTCACACAGTTGGATGCTTCCCCGTGGCATGTGTGAATGACCTTCGAGGAGAGCATACGAAGATATGTGAAGGATCCTTTGGATAGGAGTTCGTATACAGCAGCTTCGAACGACATTCATAGAGACGCCATCAATACCGCGGTTTCAGGTTATTGCATGAATGTCGGTTTTGGAGGTCACCCACCGCCCATAGCAGAAATAGAGAAGAAACTGCCGCGGAAAACAAGAGTTGCTCTGGCACAATTGAGATCGGAATGGAGCAACAGGCTCAATGCCTACTGGTCCCGCATAGACCGTGACGTCCCCAAAATATGTCCAGCATGTGGACAGGGTCCCCATGATACCCACCACATATTCAACTGTCCAGCCTACCCTACTTCACTTAGCCCAATGCATTTATGGACTAACCCTATTGAGGTAGAACAGTTTCTTGGCTTGGATCTAAATACCGAACCCCCGGATTAAAAATTGTATAGTTTAAGCTGATACAACAACAACAACTAGTGACGCATCTCTGAGACAGCCCAGATCATGGAAAATAATTCTATCAAGATAGACTAGTCTATGCTCTTATAAGGCTGGACAGTCACATAGAAGGTGTTGTACCTATCCCTCTTCTTATTCTTCCAAACAACTTCTACAGTAGCGTGGGTGGTCCATACGTTCCGACATATGCGCAATTATACAGAGCCCAGTAATTATACCCGAGAGAAGCCTAATCGAGTACCTACTTAAAGACAAGAGAGTCTTAGTCCTATCATTTGCTAGAGTGAGCCAGAGCAGTCTCCATATTCTGAAAGTGGTGATATTTGACCAGCTGAGTTCTGTTTCACTCAAAGTCCAGTCATCTATCAATTATGATAGGGTATCCAGGGGAGTGATAAGGCCGAAAACATTTATCCAGTGTTAGTTTCTGCGAATAAGTTTAAAATTTTGATATTTATATATAGCTTTGCTTACTCTATAAGAAAAAGTTGCTTAGGTTTCGAACAATAATGTATGTTTGTATATGTATATACATATTTCCAAGCGTTTTATGCATATTTCCAGTAGAGCTTAAGGCAATTTCCTATTTTTAGATTTTTAGATGAATGAAATAATGTTTTTGTTGTTTTAATTTTCTTCTTTTTTTTCAAACCATGTAGCGGATGGATTTAGTAATTGGTTTGTCATTCCTGTTGTAACACGTTCAAATATTTATGTTTCGTTAAGCATTTTAGAACGTAAAGCTCATTTGAGAGATTTAAATTTATCAACAAATTAAGGAGTCGGCATATAAATGCATGTTATCTTTTAATTACCAGCAGCCTGACACGATCACTGGGTAAAGAATAGAACTGATCCTCCTCCTATGTATAAGTGTAAATATAATAGCAGTTTGTGTGGCAGCTAGACTTTTAGACTCCTTTACATCTGGGTTGTATCCATCCACTCGTACTTATGATGTTGATTTCTAAATGAGCTCTTTCTTGGCTCTTGAAAAAAAAAAAGATGAAATAGTTCCATGCGAAATTCCAAATTCACGTGTGTGTATATGTGAATATGTGTGTGTTTGTATCTATGTTGGCAGACACATTCATCCATCTTATTCGTAGTCGTGTGTATAGTTTGTATATTTTTCTTGTTTCCTGTTCTGTTCTGGTTTTTATGTTTTCTTTTTTTTTTTCTTTTCATCTACACTACCGCCGTATGACAAGTAGTTAACTTTGGATGAGCTTTTCTTGTTGTTGTTGTTGGGGTGTTATTCAGTGGCATCTTAAATGTCAGACAGTTGGGAGTCTTGTTGAAATTGGGTCAAAATTTTGCTACCAACACACATGTTAAGAATCTTTGAAAATACACACGTCCATACATTAATTCGTACAAAACAAATTGGTACAACTCGAACAACGCGTCTAATAGAAGAAATATTAGTTACGAATAATTTCAAAACTATAGGCTCGTAAAACAAAAGGGATAAAAGAAAAAAACCAATTTCATATGATTTGTTTTTTTCTTATTGTATATGTTGGGTATTAGAATTCAATTTGCATACAATATTAAAAAAGCATTGATGTTTTTATTTTATCATCATTCATTTGGCCTATTTAGCTATTTGTTGAGATTCCTAAACATTCAAAAATAAGTACTATTTCGGTTCATTTTCAAAGTAGGTTTTATATAATTGTAAGTATTTTCTAGTTAAAATTATCAAAGTAAAATTTATAGGTAATTAATTAATTAATAGGTTATATTACAAGTATATAAAACAAGATTGCGTGACATTTGATTTCAGTACTTACAGCTGTTAAGTCACTATAATTTGGTAAACGAGATTGGAATATATCAAAGATATACATATGTATGTATGTTTGTCAAAACACACTTCTATGCAATGCAGATACGTGAATGTGGATCATATTATTGCGTGATCGTTATTTTTCTATATTTTATGATAGCAAAATTTCTACATAAAAAGAAAACTTTTTGATAAAATGTTATTATTTTTATACTTTATATGTATGTATATATTACGGTGATAAGAACACGAAAAAGTTGGTAATATTTGCCATTTATAATATTCACTTTTATATATGACCTCATAAGGTCGCGATGTACCTTCATTCTTTACAGTCACATATAAGGTCATATAGCTCCTATAAAAAATCATTCTGGAAAATTACACAGGCAGACCTCTGGTAGGTTAGTGTTCTAGTCTGACCGGAGGTGGGGGGTTGATTCCTACCTGAGGCATTGGTTAAGGAGCTCACATTTCTTATTCTAACCAACACATTTTTTAACCCAGAGACTAAAGTAAACTTTTCAAAAGGATTGAACAGCGCTGACCTACTCTATCCACAACATCAGGTTTTCCAGATATCCTGTCATTAAGTTTGAAAAACCCGTTTTATACCATATTTAAGACGCTATACTATATCTCGAAGCAAATAGTATATTTTGAACACATTATTTAAACTAAGGTATTTTTGCGCTGTTATAGCGTCTTGAATATGGCCAAAAAGGCTTTATGACACGATATCTGGAATACCTGATGTCTGATTCGGATTCAGAGAAAGTTTACTTTGGTTTCCGGGTATAGACTTTGTTTAAATTTTGTTTGTGTTATTATTTCTTTTTCTTTTTTATAGACGTTTAATATGATAAATCGGACATCAAAATACAGAATCGGATTGGACTTATATACAAAAATATATTCTATCGTATTGCTTCTGTTAAATTTCAATAAGCTTTATTTTTATATCGACTCCGTTGTATTACTCAAAAGCTAATCAAGTCTGATAAAGCCATATTTAGAGCCAGATCAAACCATCCGGAATAACGAACAAATTATTTCTTATCAATGTTAGTTCTAAATAGACCATTATGCTCTATGGTATCGGACTGCTCATGGCCACAGTTCTAACAGACGACAGGGCAACACACAGATAATAAAATGGTCTCTTCTTAGCCCTCATTGTGACCAACTTCTACAGTAATCGTTATATGAATTATGCAAGTCGTAATGAGCGATATTTTCAATCTACTAGCTAATGTGCTCGTTATCCTTCAAAGCCCATGAAGTTCTTTGACCTTCGGTCAGTCTTTATATCAAGCAAGTGGTCAAGGATGACCATCAAACACCAATATGTGCCAGGGAGCCGATTTTTTTAGTCCGCTATATTGTTTCGGTACCCAGAGAAGTTCTTGATTCGAACGGTTCGCCATCTGATTATATGTATGTTTCTAAGTTCAATATTGCATAAAAACCAAAAAGTATCTGTTGCAAAAAGTCCCCTTTTATAAGGTTCTCATTTACTACGGGCTCTACATGCCTAATTTCATGTTTCTAGATGCAATATTATAGAAAATTCCAATTACTTTTGAAGAACGAAAAAGTACTTAAAAGTCCCATTCTATAAATTCTCATTTACTCTGGACTTTACAGGCATAATTTTATGTTTCTAGGTTAAATATTATAGAAAATTCAAAAGGTATGTGTCTACACAAAGGGGGAAAAAATATACACGCCTGGTACCAAATTGACATCAAATTTTTCAATAATATCCGTTGTCAAGTACCTACAAGAACATCTAATGTTGACCACGCAACGTTGTCAACATTGCAACAATTCGTTGTCGCAGTCTAAATTTTTTTCACATCCATTGTCTAAAAGTTAACAAAAAGGCAATCTCACTACTGACAACGGATTTTGAGCTTACCACGTTCGTTAACTTTTAGACAACGGATGTGCATAAAATTTAGATTGCGACAACGAATTGTTGCAATGTTGATAATGGTGTGTGGTCAACATTACATGTTGTTGTTGTATGTAGGTATATACTTGACAACAGATGTTATTGGAAAATTTGGTGTTAATTTAGTATCAGGCGTGTATATTTATTTTTCCCTCTGTGTAGGCTCAATGTTATAGAAATTCAATAAGAGCTTTTTAAAGAGAAAAGTACCAAAAATGTCCATGTTGATAGGTTTTCACAATGTACCCTTTGAATAAGGAAAAAATAACAAAAAGTCTCCTTTTATAGGTTCTCACACAATTTACATATATGGGACTTTTATTTAGATATGACAATAAGGGAAATTGTTAATATGTATCTTTTTTTGATAATTTAAAAGAAAAAATCATATGCTATATAATTCATAATATTAGCAACAAACAGCAGCACATTCATATAATTTAAAATGTACTGGGAATCAAATATTGATAAATAATACCAGGCAAACAGCATATTAATATTATTTTGTGTATGTATATGAAAATACACATGTTTGTGTGACCGTGTGTTACGAATATATATTAAGTTTGTATGTATGTATGTATTTGCTATAAAAATGATAGTAGTAAATGATAAAGAACATAAAACAGAACCGAATTATTGACTATATATTGCTTTTGCTTTGTTTTTGTTGCTGCTTGCTGTCTTTCTTATGTCGTTATACTGCTGTAACGATTTGTTGGTTTCTTTGGGGTGGGGAAAACTGATCCACAAATACTAGTGTTGATTGTACTATTATTTATATGTACATTTATGCAACCAGTAATGCGCACTCTAACGTAAAATAACTAAAAAAATAAAATGAAATAAAAAACTGTATTGTCGAAGAGCAGAAACAGGAGCAGGAGACATGCATTAACACTATAATAACAACAACAAAAAATGTGTAGGAGTTTACTTACAAACATTTATACATAAATTGTAACTACTACATAAAAGTTTTTCATAAAAATAAAGAAAGGAAAAAAAATTGTAAAATATTTTGTAAGCTTTTTTAAAAGGAAATAATTACCTGTGTGTACAGCAGTAACTCATGGTTTAATGTTTCTTAAAGTTTCTTTTTTAACGAAACTTTGCAAATGATCTTGTGGGGGGTGTTGATGTTGATTTTCTTGTTGTGTTGTGCTGTGATGTTGCTTGTTGCAGTTGTTGTTGTAATTATTATTGTTGTAATTAGCTGCTTAAGTTAATTTAAATTTGTTATAGTTTTGAAAACACATTGTTGGAAAAACTCCATTCCATATGAGATGTTATAGTAAGGAGTCAACTTTAGGCAATTTGACTGACTATATGACTGTTTGCTGGTTAGCTGGTTCGTTTACTCCGACTCCTTTCTTTGTTCTTTGTGTAGATGTGATTGACAATATAGTTTGTATGTATGTGTGTGTGTGTGTGCGTGGCTTTTGTGTGTATGTGTGTCTATGTGTGAGTGTATATTGAAGAAAAAACGGGCAGTTTTATTGAGTTGTTGTTTTTCATTTCATTTTTTATTTCATATATAAAAATCACAAATTCTTTTTAGTTTTTTTTTTCTGTAATTGTTGTAAAAATTCTTTCTGCACTACTATTTTGTTGATATATTTATTTTAATTTAAATTTAAAAACTTTTTTTAATACACGAAACCAATGCGTTTTCTTAATAATTTTTTGTATTTTTTTACTCGTTGTTGGGATAGAATAAAACATAAAATGTGAGTGAAAAAATCGAATTTAATCACAAAAAACTGAAGGAATATAGCATATTTAGGGGGGCTACACTTTACACTTTTTTTCTAACGCACTGCTCTGCACTTTACTCCAGCAAACACGACTTTAATTTATTATTAATATTTATTTTTTTTTAAATAATTAAATAAATAGTATTTTTTTCATTTCATTATAAACTTCCCCTTTATGTGGCAACTAACTAAAGAATAACATGCAGCATATATACAATATTGTATATTCATCGGTCGTATGTGTATTATTTTTTCCTTCTTTAACTTTTTCCTTCCTTTTTTTTTCTTCGCCTTTTTCTTTTTGTTTTAACAAACTCACTGAGGTTGAATGGTAGAAACTGAAGCAGAAATTGGCATATGCTTATTGGAAATTATTTTGCCGGTTTTAAATTTTCGATTTTATCTGCTTGTAGCATGGATTTTCATAAGATTTTTTTAATAAAAATATAAAATGGCACTTAAATAACACTTTGAGGGGATTTTCAAGTATTCTACACTAATTTTTCTAAGTGATATTTAATTTTTTTAATGAATTTTTACGTTCTTACGTCTACGTGCAGTCAAATATATTGAGTTTTCCCTTAACATTTTCTAACGAAGGGTGGTTTATTGATTTTTTTACTTCCATTTGACATTTGCCCAAATAATAACACAGATGGCGTGTTAAAAATAAAATATGGCAACTCTCTTACTCTCTTTTCAGCAATGACAGTTGGTTATTTGCTTGTGTCACTGACAGCAAATAACGTTAATTTTTCAAAAGTTCTACTTCTCTCTCTCTCCCTCTCTATAATTAAAACACTTTTTTAAGTATTATTTTCAACTAATGAACACATTTATGTATTTTATTATTTTAAATATTTATTTTAATGTTTTTGTCTAAATTTTTAATCTGCACAGCTTCAAAATATTTGGTTTAATTATTATTATTTAATATTAGAAATATAATTAAATATTACATACATAAGTATTTCTACACTAAACTACCAAATGTTTTACTAATGATACGTTACGTTTTTCAAAATTTGCCAATTCATTTAAATAAATTTTCTTTAAGATTTTTATTACTATTTAAGTTATAAAGTATTAAGCTTTTGTAAAATGTTTATTTAGGGTCCATATTTGTCTAAAATGTTATTATTTTAAGTTACAAAATACTCTACTTTTATTTTGTTCAGACCCCCCTGCTTATCTCTATATAATATTATAATGTGCTTTTTATATCACAATTGATGTTGTTGTTGTTTTTTTTTTCTATTTTTAAAAGAAAAATAATTCATATTTAAATTTTTTTACTAATATTTTATATGCTAATAACTTTAAATATCAATTATTAAAAGACTTTTTATCTTAAAAACCCTTCAGTCTTAACTGTAAAATAAAATTGTAAATTTTCTTTTCATTTTCAGATTTTCTACACCTATTAGATCTACAAATATTTCAGCATTTTATAATTTCATTTGAAAAGATTTGGTAAGTTTTATTTTTATTACTCTATTTTTATATTTTTTAATATTAAATTATTAAAGTTTTTTTTTAGAAAAAAATAAACACAACAATTATTTTATTTAAAAAAAAGTCGTTTTTATAAGTTTGGCATAGTTGACAAGACTTTAGCGTTGTTACTTAATACATTGAATATATTTATTTTTTTATATGGACCTACTTTTTAATGAATCGATGTATAAGTTTATGAATATAGACGGTTATATTTAATATTTTGGTTTTTATGTGGCTTTAAATCAAATCTTTCAAATATTTCAACAAAATTTCAATTATATTCCCATATTTACATCTATATCATTAGAGGTTAATATGCTAGCGCCTATTAGTCTAATAGTTGCGGTTTCTATTTCCCTTTCAATATTCTTAATCTTGAAATTTTTCTCGGTAAGAATTAATTTCAAAATGTATTCGTTTTATGTTTGTTTATGAGTTTTCCAAATCAATCAAAGAATTAACAAAAATTGGAGTCTTCCGTATACAATATATTCTGAAATAGTCTGCAGGTTGTAAGTTTCTAGTCCATAATCAAATATTGCATATTTCTAATAGAATTAAGAATGTGAAAGAATAATTGGTGGGGGTCAAGGGAAAAATAGTTGTTAAAGATTTAGTCCGAATTCAGCCCATTTCAATTCAGACTATAATACGGACTATAGGTAGTTGAAAGGAGGATATATGTAACAACAAATCGGAAGAAATACACCTAGACCTTCATATTTTAGACTACAACATTATTTAGACCACAAGCTATTGTATAGACTATATATCACTATATTGAATAGACTACCGACCAGACTATCGATTAAATTTTCGACAAGACTATAGAGTGGACCATTATCTAGACTTTAAACTATTCTATATATATAGACTATGTTCTCAACTGTAGATCAGATTATATACAAAAATGTAGTCCAGACTCTTGACCATATTTAGTACTCACTATAGTACAGACTATAGGCAAAAAAAAACTATAATCCAGTGTATGGCTCAGACTCTTGACTACATTAAGTCGAACTAAAGACAAAACCCTTGACTAGATTTACTCTAGATCCTCGAATATATTTAGTTTTGACGAAACTGCAAACTACAGATTAGACTAAGATTTAGACCAGATTTAGTCCAAACTCTTGACTAGTTTAGTTCTAACTAAAAAGCAGTCTATAACCAGACTTTAGACCTGAAAATACATCAGACATAATACCAAACATAGGTCAGACTATAGACCAGATTCTTGATCAAATATATGTAGTCCAGATTATTGACCAGTTTTATTCCAGACCTTTGACCAGATTAAATCTAACTAAAGACCAGACTCTTGACCAGATTTAGTCCAAACCCTTGGCCAGATTTAGTCCAGACTCTTGACTAGATTTAGTTCTGACTAAACAGCAGACTATAGACCAGAAAATACACCAGCCATAATACCATACAATAGACCAGGCCCAAACCCAAAGAGCCCAAAACCCTTGACCATATCAAGTCTAACTAAAGACCAGACTCTCGACCAGATTTAGTCCAGACCCTTCACTAGTTTAAGTCTGACTAAACAGCAGACTTTAGACCAGACAATACACCAGACATAATACTATTCAAGAGACCGGACTATAGACCAGATTTTTGATCAGATATAGTCCAGGCTATTGAACTGACTGTAGATCAGACTATGGTGCAGTCTATGGGCAAGAATATAGCTTAGACTATGGTCCAGTCTTTAGCCAATAATGTAGATCAGACTATAGTCCAAACTTTATACCAGACTATAGATCGAGCTATAGATTAGACTATATTACCGACTTTAGAGTTATAGACTACTCTATCCGGGCTATTGACTAAAAACAAAATATATAGTTAACCGAGATCTAGTTATCAGGAATCTACAGTTGTTGTAATGTCAAAATAATTTCTACAAAAATCCTAAAAGACGTTTAGAGAAATGGGGAAATGTGTTGTAAGATTTACTTTTGATTAAGAATGTTATAGAATAACTGTAGCTTGCGGATTTTTGAATATAATTGAATTAAAATAACTGTTTCTAAAAATTAAATACCTAAATGTGCTTTCCACATAATTATTATTTAAGCATAGACTCTCTATTTTGAGAGTTTTTGTCATAAATTCTTTGGCTAATCATTTGTTTTTTTAGTAATATTTGAGATCATTGTTAATGTGTGTAAATGCACTGCTCATAATGTTCGTATTCATATATTGTATTGTCATTTAGACCAATGGCAGTTACTGGTCTAAACAAGCGTTACCTACAAACGTGTTACTTCGGTAACAGTTGATACATTCGGGCCACCACTAGCATTGACAGTGGAACTTGTGCCAACATTAGAATTTGCATTGGACGAGACATTAGCCGCAACACTGCTGACATTGTTAGGGGCATTTGGTGCCGATGTTGAAGTGGTGGCATCCATTTTCGGTTGAGCCAGATGGGAATAGTAACCCATTTGACAGTTATTGTGCTGGGAAACTTGTTGATTTTGACTGAGTTGTAGTTGAGCAAGTTTGATGGCCTGTTGATGTTGTTTGGGTGTCATGCAATCACAACCACTCTGAGAGGTGGCTATAAGTTCCTCTGTGGATTTGGCCGTTATAGTGGTGGTTGTAGTTGTGACTTGTTCGACGAATTCCGTTGGTGGTGGCGCATAGTTCTCAACATCGGTATAAGTTGAATAGCGTCCATAGGGATTTTTGCGTGGTATGGAATGACGTTGTTGAGCTATTTGTAAATTTACCACCGGTTTCATGGCCACCGTATCCAAATAGCCATAACCATAGCCATAGGCTCCTATATTGGCTGCTGTGAGGTTATCCCAAGACTTTGGTTTGTGCACATAAGCAGAGTTGGGATAAATTTGAGCTGGTTGTACCTGGGTTGCGGTAATATGATAACGTTGCTGATACATGGCTTGTTGCATATATTGCTGTTGTTGTTGTTGAGTTGGCTGTTGTTGATGATGTTGATGCTGATGGTGAGAATGATGATAAGTTTGTTGTTGTTGCTGCTGCTGAGCCTGTTGTTGCTGTGACTGCTGTTGTTGTTGACAGGATTGCCTTGATTTGGTGGAATGTTGACGAGAAGTTGCTGGATTTTCACTATTCGGATCATAGAAAAGAGTATCAGTACTAATCGAAGTGGTATATGAAGCTGAATCAGCTGGTGCAAATTCGCTTGATGTACATGAATGCAAACTACAGCGACTAGCTAATCCCGAGGCAATATCAAAGTAGCGGGATCGTATACTACCAGTATGAGAATCACAGCCATGAGATTTTTGATGGTGATGATGCTGTGATTGCTGTTGTTGTTGCTGCTGCTGTTGCTGATGTTCATAGTAGTGATGTTGATGTTGACCAGCATCTTGTGCGGCATGATGGTGATGATGATGTCTTGTTGCTCCCGTAGTTACATGACTCTGAGACTTTGGCCGTGGTGGTCTTTCTTTGGCTTCGTGTTCTCGATCACGATCACGATGTTTATGTTTGTGTGTATGCTCTTTGTGATGATGGCGAGTACGTCGCCGTGATGGCACACAATGAGTATCGCAACATGGACTGGCTAGATCATAGGCATCCAAACTAACATTATCACCATTACCAGCGGCGGCTGCAGCAGCAGCAGCTGCTGCTGATTTTTCAGCTGATTTCCATCTAAAGTCTATGCAAGGATTACAGGAATGACCATGACAATGCTTGCCGGTTTTAGATGATTTGTGCGTACTATTTAAATCCTGTTTTTGTGTTTGCTGCTGTTGAGTCTGCTGCTGCGGTTGGTGTTGTTGTTGTTGTTGTTGCTGCTGTTTGTTTGGTGGTTTGTGTTTCTCGCAAGTTCTTGGTGGTGGAGCTGGTGGCTGCGAACTACTGGCACGTCTTTGACTGGTAAAGTGGGTTGAAGTGGCTGGAGCAGTTGTAGTATCTCCCGATTCTGCCCTCGTCAAAGGTTCACCGATTGTTACAAAACAATCTCCGCTGCTATTGGTCGAAGTGGAAGGTTTCATCACATAACGATAGTGGGGATCGAAATAGTGATACGACAGCATAAACTGAGCTGGTGGTGGTATTATTGTCTGCTGTGTTTGACGTGCTATATTTGTTACGTCTTCGGTGGAGAGTGTTGAACGGTAATAGGGTAAATTAAGTTCAGCATCTGTGGGAGAATTTCCTGTATCTGTACCATCGGTAGGCGAAGTGGTGGCCTTTTTACGCGCTGGCAAACTGTGTGTCTTCCACTTGCCTTCCAAAAGCTCTCTTTCTCTTATGCAAATCTTTTCCAATTCATTCATTTTGTTTTGCAACATATTTTGCAATTGTATATAACGCATATGCAGTTCAACCTGTAAAGGAAATTATTAAAACAAATCTGAAATTTTAATTAACTTACTTCAAAATACCTTGCGTACACAGTCCTCAAAAAGCACAACCATTCTCATGCGTGTATCACAACTTTTAATGTAGTCCACCAATGTTTTATGATCGGCTTTCTCCATATCTCGTCCATTAATTGAGAGTATAACATCACCTTCTCTCATGCCAGCCCTATAAGCGGGTCCATCATATTCCACATAATCCACATAGGTGATCATTTCCACTTCTTGATCTTTTTTATAGTGAATACCATAACTCTGCAGTGTAAAGCCGAAAGAATCGTTTTTCTTTTCCACTATGATGGTACGTCTACGGCGATCTTCATCTACCTTAGAGGCTAAAAAGCGTTCGGACTTGACTCTTCCCAAGATATGGGTCGACTGTGATAACTATTAAATTATAGAGAGAAAAAGAAAAGTAACATCTTTAGTCACTTATGATTATGAGTTTTTAAATACGATTTGCATTTAAATTGTTCTTATTTATGTTGTTTTACAAAATTCCTTAAGGCTTCTTGTGTGTGCAATCCTCCTTACACATCTTCCTTGGGTCATGTTGTACTACTAGCATATCTTTGTTTGTTTTCAGTGTGCAGTACTTGTACTGGTGGTCATTAAGTATTTACAACTCATTATAAGTTTGTTTTGTGTGTGTCTTTGAAAGCTAAAGAATTTTAAAACAAATAACTGGAGGCACTTGGCATATTATCCTTAAATTGTGTGTACTAAATACAAGAATATTTATTTGTCTTTTTTATCATTTGCTTGGAGTGCTGCTGGTAATTGTGAATGGTTATATGTTGAAAAATTTTTTCGACTTATACTTTCATTGACAGAAAGTTTGCCTCAACTATGTTGAGCAAAGATTTTTAATTTACTTTTGGACATGACCACGAGCAAGAGAATGGCAAAATTTTGAGAAAAATAATTAAATATTTTCTATAAGAAATTAAAACTTAGCACAGAGTGTTTTATATGTAAAATACTCTTATTTATTCCTTGAAATATTTCGTATCTATAATTTATAAAATTTCAGTTGCTCTCACAATTTTCAAATAAATTTTTGTTATATTTCAAACTCGTTAAATTTAAAAAAAAATATCGTTCCAAATGTATGTGTCAGTTAATTGTAGCAAATATTATGTATACAAATTATTGTTCATTGTACATTGGATTTCAACAATGACGTTCTATAATCGCGTAGTTTAAGGGCAAATAGTACGCCACAGTCACGGTCAAATGCATTTTAAATAATAAAGAGTAAAAGCAAAAATAAAAAGATTAATTCATTTTATTCATGAACCTTAGAATCTAAAGTAAAAAATGCGTTTTAAAACAGACTTTTTGTATGCACGCAATATTTTATCATTGAATCGTTATATGCCATTAGAGTTCTAATGGCATATTAAGACTCAGGGGAAATCAAGCAGTAACTCGTTTTGAAACAAAATTGTATAATAATGTGATAAAATTTTTAAAATATTAATATATTTTTATTCTATGGATATTATGGCTTTTAAGCCAGAAAGTAAATTTACAATGTGATGGCCAATATTTTAATTTCATGACATTTTTCAAACAACCATCCAGGGACCGAATTACCACATACATAATCTGGTAAAACTGATCGTAATTTCCCATTTTTTAGAATATCGCATGCGATATCTAGACTAGTCTATAGTCTATAGAGACTATAGACTACTATAGACTAGACTATAGACTAGACTATAGACTAGACTATAGACTAGACTATAGACTAGACTATAGACTAGACTATAGACTAGACTATAGACTAGACTATAGACTAGACTATAGACTAGACTATAGACTAGACTATAGACTAGACTATAGACTAGACTATAGACTAGACTATAGACTAGACTATAGACTAGACTATAGACTAGACTATAGACTAGACTATAGACTAAACTATAGACTAGACTATAGACTAGACTATAGACTAGACTATAGACTAGACTATAGACTAGACTATAGACTAGACTATAGACTAAACTATAGACTAGACTATAGACTAGATTATAAACTAGACTATAGACTAGACTATAGACAAGACTAGACTATAGACTAGACTATAGACTAGACTATAGACTAGACTATAGACTAGACTATAGACTAGACTATAGACTAGACTATAGACTAGACTATAGACTAGACTATAGACTAGACTATAGACTAGACTATAGACTAGACTATAGACTAGACTATAGACTAGACTATAGACTAGACTATAGACTAGACTATAGACTAGACTATAGACTAGACTATAGACTAGACTATAGACTAGACTATAGACTAGACTATAGACTAGACTATAGACTAGACTATAGACTAGACTATAGACTAGACTATAGACTAGACTATAGACTAGACTATAGACTAGACTATAGACTAGACTATAGACTAGACTATAGACTAGACTATAGACTAGACTATAGACTAGACTATAGACTAGACTATAGACTAGACTATAGACTATAGACTAGACTATAGACTAGACTATAGACTAGACTATAGACTAGACTATAGACTAGACTAGACTAGACTATAGACTAGACTATAGACTAGACTATAGACTAGACTATAGACTAGACTATAGACTAGACTATAGACTAGACTATAGACTAGACTATAGACTAGACTATAGACTAGACTATAGACTAGACTATAGACTAGACTATAGACTAGACTATAGACTAGACTATAGACTAGACTATAGACTAGACTATAGACTAGACTATAGACTCGACTATAGACTAGACTATAGACTAGACTATAGACTAGACTATAGACTAGACTATAGACTAGACTATAGACTAGACTATAGACTAGACTATAGACTAGACTATAGACTAGACTATAGACTAGACTATAGACTAGACTATAGACTAGACTATAGACTAGACTATAGACTAGACCTATAGACTAGACTATAGACTAGACTATAGACTAGACTATAGACTAGACGATAGACTAGACCTATAGACTAAACTATAGACCTAAACTATAGACTAGACTAGACTAGACTAGACTAGACTAGACTAGACTAGACTAGACTAGACTAGACTAGACTAGACTAGACTAGACTAGACTAGACTAGACTAGACTATAGACTAGACAAGACTATAGACCGAATACTATTTGGCCTGTTTATCAAAAGTTTATTAGTTAGAAAAATCTCCAAATAACTTGTGGGAGTACCGCGGTATTTTTCGAAATGAGAAAGTACTGAAAAAGTACTAAAGTACTGAATTTTTCATGCCTGGGCTGTATAAAATTGCTCTCTTCCCAGTTTATAGCAATAAAAATCTGCTATGTAATATTTAGCAAAAGTATTAGTACCAATAACATTAACTAATTAAACACAATTAATATGATTTAATAACATCTCATCTAATAACATACAAGATAATTTAGATTAACTATCAATGCCGCTGAGCAGCTAATTGGATTATAAAGAGTTTACTAATAAGCACACAGTCATCACAAATGTCATCATAAGTTAAAGCACATGCCACACTGCTCTATTAACATATGTTGTTCTAATACATATGTATATGTGTAAGTATATAGTATGAGAGTTCTAAACTCTTTCTGTTCTTAGTGAGTCAAAATTAACATAAAATCATTGTTCAATCAGGTGTGACACCTCATAAGCAGTAGCAATATCTAAAACATTGAACATATGAGGAATAGAGGGAGGGGTATAAATACTACATATTAATTTAACCACCCTTAAGAAGCAAATGTCGTTGCTCTATACAAAAACAAAAAAAAACACAATTATTGAAATGAGTCCATATTAATGTGTTTAGTTTTTGTGTCTATATGTCTTACCTGGGAATATTCCAACTCTTCATCACTGGCGTCTAGACTTTTGTGTTTGTTGTGATATTTTAAACGTCCCAGACTGCCGGTGCCCATGACATAATGGGTGGTATTTCCGTTACCATTGCCCGTACGTAAACTTCCGCCTGTAGCACTAGTTGCAACCGCAACATTACCCAAACTAACGGTGGCAATGCTTTGGCAACTACTACTTATAGGATTGGCAGTGGCCATAGTTGACTGACTGTCTAAATAAATGAATGAGTTATATGAAGTTATTACAGCAAACAGACAACCAAAGAGATAGATGGCAGAACAACCCACCAGGTAGGTATAGGATGGGATGGGATGAGTTAGTTAGTTGGTTTGGTTGTGCAAAATTGCGGATTGACTTTGCTTAGTAGTTGGTATAAAAATTAACACTGTTGATTTGACATTTGCTTTAGCTGTTTGGTTTTGTATGTAAGTACATACATATATGTATATATATTAATGTGTATATAACTACACATACATATGTACTTAAGTATATACCTATACATATATATGTATAATTTTTTGTATATAAAACGACAGTTTTTTGTCTTATATTCCTTTTAATGCGATATGAAAATTGTGTTTGAAACACATCTTCCATGTAGTTATTGATTTATCGCACATAATCCCACCGTATATCTGTGTTAATAAGATTTTTTCTTTGTTTTTTTCTTCTGATTATTATTATAATTGAACTTCTATTAATAATCATACGATTTTTTGTTGCTGGCGTATTATATAATAATTTATTTAAATTATGTTACCAAACAAAATATGTTTTAATTTTGCTTCAGTTTTTTCCTTTTTTTTTTTAATTAAAACGATTATTGTCTACAGATACCGACCGAAGTAGACGATGGAAAATTTCTTTTCAAATTTATTATTTATGTTAGAGTTTGGTTTAAAACAGTTATTTATTTTGTATAGAAATAAATATAGTATTATTTTTTAAATTTATTTTATATTGCACTTAATTATGAAAATTTTATTTTAATATAATTTATCTAAATATGTGTTTTATGTAGAAAAAAAATGTTGATATATTGTTAAAAAAAACTTCCGCTTTATTAAATGTTTGTCGTTTATTTGAGAGAGCTTTGTGTCCAACTGTTTGGTTTCGTTTGGCTAAATTATTTTTGCCTGCCGACCAGAAAACCCACCACCAAAAAATATTCGTACACTGTTGAACAGTTATTTGTGCATTTTGTAGCCGTTATATACTCATTAGATAGAATATTAGTGTGTAGAATATTCTCGCGCGCTCTCTTTTCTTTTACTCTCTGTAAACGGAAAAGGAAATTTGTGTGCATGGCCATAACGTTATGGCCAATGTGGCGGAATATGGTAGAAAAAACTGATTTTAATGGTGTTTAATTTTCAAAATATTATATTTATACAATAACATTTTGTATTCCAACTTGTTATATATATAAGGAGTATAATGATGACCATACACAGAGGGAAAAATAAATATACACGCCTGGTACCAAATTTACACCAAACTGTTTATAATTTTTCAATACCAGTATATACATACGTACGACAACACTATATAATGTTGGCAACATTGCAACAATTCGTTGTTGAAATCTAAATTTTATACACATACGTTGTCCAAATGTTAACAAACGTGGTAAGCTCACTGTTGACAAACAATCCGTTGCCAATAGTGAGCTTACCATGTTTGTTAACATTTAGACAACGGATGTGTATAATATTTAGATTTCGACAACAAATTGTTGCAATTATTTAGTGTTGTCGTACGTATGTATATACATACTTTGACAACGAATGTTATTGAAAAATTATAAACTCTTTGGTGTCAATTTGGTACCAGGCGTGTTTATTTCCTTTTCCCTCTGTGTACACCCATTGTTATAAGACAGAGCAACGTTTATAGTGAGACTTGAACCCACTACATATAGACCTTTCGAAATAGCTAATATCAATTGGCTTATTACTAGGGGTTCAACCCCATACTCTCTCACTGTAGTTTGTTTGAAAATTTTGTTAGGTTAGATTTGTGCAGGCCGTGGGTTCACCATAACAGGTTTAATTCACGTATAAAAATAACGGGTTTGATTGGTGAGTTGTTGAATATATCCTTCGGCGCTAGTGATGCAGCACCTAAGATACTTTCTCGACGAGTCCTTAGTGTTGGATAATTGCACAATATGTGTTCAAACAGCCACATAATCTGCATAGCTTCGATATGGCGTTTCCTAGGATGAATTAATGCTATCTGGGACCACAATGCCCGTTGAGTAGTTCCGTTAGTATTCTGTGATCATTTTTGTTGAGCGATAAAAATTTTTGGGATTTTACCCTTAATAGCGTAATTAATCGCTATGTATCTCTAAGAACTGTTGTAGCATCCCAGTGGCGAGCTAATTTGTGGGATACCAAAGAATGGTTCAGAGCCGATAAGTGGGCGATGAGCTCCTCTATTTGCTAAGCAATCCACCCGTTCGTTGCCACCATGATCTTAATGACCGGGTATCCAACATAATACTAATTTGTTATGTTTACCCAGTACGTTCAGTGATGTCACACAGTCCATTACAACACCCGACCTAACTTCATATGATAGTAAGGCCTTGAGCGCTGATGTGGCTGTCTGACATATAAATTTGGTTGTCTAATATATAAATGGTCAGACCCCTTATAATTCTCCTGACTTATTCCATAGCACATATGAAGATGGCATAGACTTCTGCCTGAAAGGTTGAGAAATATTTTTCCATGAAGATTGCGTTCTGGAAGTTTGGACCACAAATACCCGCTCCACTATCACCATCTATGTATTTGGACCTATCAGTAAATCAAACTTGATTAGAACTTTGCTGCCACAATGTTTGTTTGGCTCATTTATTCCTGTCAGGAAACGCGAATTGCCGAATTGCAGGCCTCATCATTAATAAGAATATCCTAAGGTGGTATGTGAATAATAGTCGCAATGCATATGTAGGACATGTTCGAGTTTAAGGCAGCATAAGTCAGAATTGGCTTTATTATCATATTAAAAGTCCATGACATAATTTTCGGCTTAAGACCCCATGTTCGGTAGAATACCCTAAAGGCTCTATTGATCGTACTGGATACATGTGAGTTCCAATTTTAAACCAACTAACTAAACATTTCCTTTTCATGCTATATACCAAAAATCGTTTCAAATACGTTTCTTAAATTTGAAACTACGAACTTCAGAGATAGCATCAGAATTGAACATTCTTACGGGGATATCCAAATGTATGTTAATTGGTGGTGTTGTAGTCTGTCAGTAAAAGAGATGGGTTCGATAAGATCTAGGAAGGTTATAGAACTTTTAAAAATATTCTAATCATTTCTCAAATATTAATTATGTTGAAAATTAAAACCAGAAAACCAGCAATATAAAAAATAAAGTAAGTGGGCATCTAATGGGTTAAAGGGAAACTTATTTACTTTAACATTATTAACTCCAAAATATTTATGACCTCCAGGTTCTCAAAATTATTAAACCCTCTTGATAACACTAGCATATACACATTGCTGGCAACGCGATTTATAAGTATATAAACAATTTCACAGCACGAAGCTTTTGTATATACCAGACACTACATATTAGGGGTTGCAAATTACAACCGTTACATTTTGAATTCATACATTCCCCCATTAAACAACAAAATTAAACACATTTTTTTATTATTTTTTCAAGTGTTTTTTTAATCAAACAAAGTTCAGCAAATTTTTTAATATTTAGTTCATTTTGTTTTATATTCTTTTCATTTTCATCATCTTCTCTTTAACATTATTTTTATTATTTTATAATTTTAATTAATTATTTCAGATTTTATTTGTGTTTTTTTTTCAAATCTTTTCCTTGTTCAGACAGGATTTTTTATAATAAATACATATATGACATGCTTTTATTTTACCATTTAATGTGTTTTTTTATATAAAAATATGTTAAAAATATTATCGAATAATTTACATTTACAAACTTAAACAACTAGAAAAAAATAACTAACACTAACAAATAAAAAAAGTGGGCATTTCGTGTGTATGTGTGTGTGAGAAAGGGTGTGGAGGGGGTGATTTGATTTTTTTTTAAATTGTGTTTAAAACTTAAAAAAGAATACAATACAAATATTAACAAATGTTAATTAATTTATTAATTAATTAAATAATAATTAAAATAAAAATAAATATAAATCTCAATTTTTGAGATTCTCAATACAATCTTTAGTTAAACAAATATTTTCAATTCAAAAATAAAAAAAAGCTTCTTTTTTTAATAACTATTGTTTGATTTTTTTTCTTTTTAAAATCATGTTTATTTTTTAAATTTACAATTTAAAAAGTAACTAATTAATTATAATTACATTTTTGGTATGAATTGTATGTGTGTGTGTATATATGTGTAATTTTATTTTCTTAATGCTTAATGTTTGTTTTAAATTTCTTTCGTTTTTTTTTTTGAGTTTTTTTAAAAACTATAAATTAAATTTGATTTAAAATAAATTTTCAAACATTTCTGTATTGAAGTGGTTTAAGTGTATGATTGTGTGTGTGAAAAAGTGAGTGAATGAGTGTGTGTGTATTTGGACATACTTAAGTACATACTTATAAAATACAATTTAAAATTTACAAACTTACAACTAAAACATCAAATAAAAATGTTAAAATTTAATTAAAAAAAAAAAAAAAAACTAAAAACAAAACATTAACACTTTGTAATATTTATAATACTAACAAAATTGAAAATTCAAAAATAAAAAAATTAAATAAATAAGTAGTGAAGTGATGCAATTTTAATTTCAAATAATTTTGTTTGGAAATTTTTTGGCTGGAATAACATGCGCAGTTTCAAGAAAAAAAAGATAAATAAACTATTGTTGATGGATTTATATTTTTACATTTTCCTCAGAATGAGGAATTTGTTTACTCAGGTATTTTGATAGACTTGTTATTTTGTAAACCAATTAATAAATTAAATATGATCTAATAAAATACTATTTAAGAAAACTATGTTGAAGTTAGTTGAAGAGTTCCGATAATTATTTTGATCGAATTTATATTATTGTAAAGGTATTGAAATTTCCATTCAAATGCTATTGAGTAATTGATCATATTCCAACTATCAATTGAGAATGATAAAAGTAAGAATCTGAAATCTTACAACTTTATTTTAAGTCCGTTCCATTCTATATGTTTTATTCTCACGAGGTTTTTAACATTAGAACCTTGTATATAAATTGGTCCAAAAATACAGAAAAATTTTAAAATTTTTCTTTTAATGTCTCGTTTAGATACATTTCATGTTGCATGATCTTAACAATTGAGCCGATCATCAAAATTTTTACCGATCTCTTGTTCGTCTCTTATTTTTCATTTACTTAGGAAACAATTTCGACTTTAGTGATAGAAAATATCATTATTATTTATATTGAAAGATCATTAGGAAAGTTTCACTATATTCTAGTAGATTCTCTTTAACAAATTGTGATCTTTTTCCCTTCAAATTCCGCTTCATGAGTCCGTCAGTGCGAGCTTGAACTTTCGAGCAAATTTTTAAAGAGTTCGAAAAAATACGAGTATGTCTACACTCTCTCATATTTTAGAATCTCTTCTGGTTTATTATGAAAAACAAAGAATTTTGATGACATTCGAATAATTCGAGAATCGTTTCGAGTACAGTTTCTTTTGACCTTTATACATTGATTAAAAAATTAAGGCAAATGTCTTTTCAATCTGTTACTGGAAATTTGAAATGAGTTCTCTTGCTTTCACATAACCAGAGTCTATTTCTCTCTCTTTGCCGAAGCCTAGCATCAAGTGATCGCTTCAAAATACTGAATTTTCTATTAAATCTCTATAAAATAAGATTTACGAATCTGTTTCTTGAAGTTTGGAGTGAACAGAGTTTCAAAAATCAGGCTAGAAACAAAATTGATTATTCTCAGAGAAAACACGAAACACGAATCACTCAGATCATTTTTTACGATGACGACATAAGTTGACACTTGTATAAACATTTTAGAAAACTTTGATAAATATTTCTTATATGGAGATCTTTCTTTTCAAGAAAAATTTAACTTTAAAATGGATAAGTTTAGAAAAATAAAAAATCTCGCCCACTTTAACGGAAATTGTCTTTTCTTTTTATTTCGAATTATTATTGATTTACTTGTAAATAATGTAATAAATTTAGTTTTATTTCTAAATCAATAAGAACTAAAGAAAAATCATTTGTTAGTGGGTGGTCAGTACAAAAGAAATAGATTTTTATTAAAAGAAAACGAACAATTTTAAGTGATAAATTTGTAACTAATAAGTGGGCGAGTTATTTTGATCATGAAATTTTATAACCCCAAAGCTGTCAATAATTCCATTACAATTGGTTTTATTTTCAAGTTCTGGAGCACTTTCCATTTACCAAGATCTTTAACAAATTTTTTAATTCTTTTTACAAAATTTATTGCAAATCAAATATTTAGTTAATTAAGATGATTAAAGGTTGATACAAACAAATTTCTGTTATATTCCGAATGAAGTCGATTACTATAACAAATTTGTAGCTCTATGTTTGTTTACACTTAGAGAAAAATCGTCTTTTCCTCAATGAAACCTTTAATGCAATGAAAAGTTACATTAATCACAAGAAACTTTACATTATAGTTACGAAAGTCATAATAATGCAACAATTAAGGTCTGTGGCGTATTTTTTGATGATATGAATGATTATTTGTTGCTCTATGCTTGTTTACACTAAGAGAAAAGACTTCGTTTTCTCAATGAAACCTTTAATGCAATGAAAAGTTACATTAATCGATAGAAACTTTTGATAAATTGTTGCTCTATGCTTATTTACACTTAGAGAAAAAAGCTTTGTTTCCTCAATTAAACCTTTAATGCAATGAAAAGTTACATTTATCGAATGAAACTTTACATTATAGTTATGAAAGTCTTAATAATGCAACTTTTAAGGCCTATTTTTTAATATATTTTAATGCAATGAAAAGTTACATTTATCGAATGAAACTTTACATTATAGTTATGAAAGTCTTAATAATGCAACTTTTAAGGCCTATTGTTTGATGATAAGAATGATTATTTGCTGCTTTATGCTTGTCTACACTAAAAGAAAAAAACTTCGTTTGCTCAATGAAACCTTTAATGCAATGAAAAGTTACATTAATCGAAAGAAACTTTACATAATAGTTATGAAAGTCATATTAATGTAACATTTAGGGGCCGAAAACTTTTTTTGAGTGATTAGAATGAGTGATTAGAATGATTATTTGATAATTTTTTAAAACTCCTTAAGTATTCCAGCCAAAAATTTCAAAATTTTTTATTTGTTTTTTATAAAAAATAGGATTATTTAAAATTTTCTCCCTGTTGGCAAAATATACATACATATACATTTCTTTTGATATATTTTTTTTTTTCAATTTAACAACTATAACAATTGCGGCTTTATAAGAAAAACTCTACGTAATTACAAAAAAATAATGATAATAATTTGAAACCAATAAAAAATATAACAGTAAATAGTAGTGGTAATAGTAGTAGTACTAAGTAGTAGTAGTTTAAATTATCAAAGGTGTGTATTTGGCCGTAGATTGCAACATAAAATCTGTGAATAAAAAAACAACATATAAAATAATGTCATTAATTTGTGGTAATTGACATAAACTAAATGTAAATATTAAAAACTATTACTTTTTAATTTAAACTTTAGCAAGGAAAAGGTGTTAAGAAAAGCTTTTCCCAAAATTAAGTTTGTAAACAAACTATAGTTTTTACTACTGTAGTTGCCAGTTAATTTTAAATAAAATGTTTTGTTATAAGTAAATATGAGTTTATTTTTTCGATTTAATTAAAATACAAACACCATTAGTTTAGAATAGTTTTTTTTGTTTAAACAAATGCAGAAATTGTTTGTTGCATTCTACAGCCAAAAAAAAAGAAAAATCTAGAAAATGAAATTTTAAAACTACTACTACTATGATAAAATACTTACTACCTTTACAACTACTTAGAAAATGTATGTATATTTGCAAATCTATGAAGAAAAAGTTCAGTTTAATTATAATAAATGGATGGAGGGATTAAGTACAAATAAATATATAAAATAAAATAAATAAATTATTAAGTGAATGTTGTTTTCAAATGACAGTATGTAGTACTAAATAGTTAGGAGTTGAAGTTGAGTGAAGTAGGTACAACAATAGGAGTTATGTTTGAAAAATTAAACCATTTCCAAATATATATATTTTTTAATTTGTTTTAAAATTAATATTTTTACAAACATTATTCGAGAAAGTTCTATATGAATTATTAAGTTTTGTTTTTCTTTCTTTTTTTCCAGAAATTTTAACTTTAGTCGTAAAAAGTAAAATTAAAATCTAATTAAATAATGTTTAAATTAAATTAAATAATAAAATTAGATTAAATTAAATAATAAATTAACTTTGGATTTTTTCCATTTATACTACATGGTATGGATATTAGTATTTATGTATGTGTGTGTGTGGGTGTGTAAGTTCAAATTTTCTGTTTTCTTCTATAGGCCCTTTAAAGCCTCTTTTTAACTATAATAAGCCTGGCAAATATTTTCATAAAATATGTATGCATATGTTTAAGTAAGTGTTCTTTAGACCAAATTACAATTTCTAAAATATTGTACATACTTATTTCAAAAAAAAAAAAAAATCTCTTAGTAAATTCAAACTTATGACAAATAGTAATAAAAAAAAGCATTTTAAAAAAATGATCTCGAGTTAAATAAAATTTAAATTAATTTAATTTAAAATTACACTGTTAAATGTGTGTGGTAAATAGTACAAAAAAACTCTAAGGAACAAAAAAAATAATGTTAGTGCCCGCTTAGCGGAAAGTAATTATATATTTAAACAAAAGCCTTTCTATAGCACCTTTAGTTTTGTAAATATCTATGTAATTTTTAGTTTAATTTAATTTTTTTAATCTTTAGTTACCGACAGAGTCTAACATACATGTATTTTCGAGCAATTAAGTTTAAGTTTGAAAAAAAAAACGTTCTAAGCGGTTGTTATGGAATGTGGTGAATTTTTGTTTTTCGGTGTAAAACCCTTCTTCTCCCTTTTTTTATAATTTCAAACAAAGGGTTTATACTGTTTGTTTTAGCATTTTATGTAAAATATATAGTAGTTATAGAAAATAGAAAGAATATTTGTTAAAGATTTATAAACTAAAAAAAAGAAAAAGATTTTGTACAATTTTCTTTGGAAACATATAAGCAGAGTTGCATTTTACGAAAAACAATTGCAATATTTATAAAATTCGAGCTTCAATACGAACTTAGCTTTCAGTTGATATACACACATACAGATCAACTTTTCGAATAGAGAATTGAGATGGTTAAACTCATGGAATTTATTGTTAGTAGAAGTAGTTAAATTGCTGCTTACTTGTGGAGAAGATTGAGAAGTCATTTTCCTATATGAGTCAAGAAATAGTTCTATATAAACATGTTTAAATTTTTTAGAAAGAGACTGGCAAAACACAATATGCTTTCTCTCTCGTTATACATATATATCGTTCGATAAAAAAAATCTTGGATTCAGAACCTCAATCTCACATAACAACTATATATTTGGAATATATTAATACAAAGTTTGTGAAAAGCATAATAAAACATCGGCATATTTGCTTAGAACTACACAGAGAATAAAAATTTACACGCCCGGTACCAAATTGACACCAAATTTGTTAATAAAAGTTAACAAAAGTGGTAAGCTCAAAATACGTTGTAAATAATGAGCTTACCACTTTTGTTAACATTTAGACAACGGATGTGCATAAAGTTTAGATTGCTACAACGAATTGTTGCAATGTTGACAACGTTGCGTTTTCAACATTACATAGTGTTGTTGTATGTATATACTTGACAATGGATGTTATTGAAAAATTTGGTGTCAATTTGGTACCAGACGTGTATATTTTTCCCCCTGTGTAGACCCCGAACTATTTTTACTATAAGAATAATTATGCCCAAAAAGCTACTGTTCACAACTCACGAATCCTTTCTATAAGGCTTTTAAACACTTTAATTTAGTAATATTTATAGCAACGAACACTAAAGGTTGCCCCGGAACACGAGCCGAAATCGGCTTTTCACACAAACACAACACGAAAACTAGTTCGAATTAGTTTCAAGAATTTTTAGACAACTTTAATGTGAAAATAAATCTCAAGAAATATGCCAAATTGTTAAGAAAATACAACTCTATTTATATGCTAATACAATCGAAATTTGAAAAATTATTATACGGTATTTTATAAAATTTTTATCAAAACTAAAATTTTAACTTTAGTTTTAATAAAGTACTGAGTTCTTTTTTGCTTGAAAAATAATGAACAAAAATTAACAATATAAAATAAATACTTTAACAAATTTGAGATTAAAATAGTTTTGAAACAGAAAACAGAACCAAAAAACGTTTGATGCTATAGAAAAGCCTACTTTAGCAATAATAACTTCCTAAATATTTATTTTCGCCACATTCGTGTTCGTTGCTGTACGTACTAGGGGGCATATTGTTGACTTCTTTGCGGTCGCATCTTTCACCAATAAAGCCTTCGGGGCATCTGGAAACATATATATAAAAACGGAAAACAAAAGAGTCAATGAAAATACTAGACAAGTCTAAATTTAAATCTAACTAAAAAAGGTTACCTTACTTATATAAACTAAATAATAACTTAAAAAAGAAACGAAAACTTACATGCAGGAATAGGAACCGATTTCTGAAAAGAATTTACAAGTTCCGCCATTAAAACAGAACTCGGAGGCATCATCCGGACAATTATTGCCTGTACCTCGGGGATTGGGATCAAAACGTTGTACTAAAAGAAAATAGCCACGAAAAAAAGAAAAGAAAAACAAAAATTATAATTAAATTTATTAATGCTTTCACACTTTAGTTCACACATTAGCAATTTTTAAAGTGAAATAAAAAAATGCATAAAATAAAAAATCATGAGACTATAAATACCTGGATACGCTTTAATTACGATTGCTCTGCGTTCTATATTACGATTAACCTTATTTTTTGCTCGACACTCATAACGACCAGCATCTGAGGTATTAAAAGAACGTATAATAAGTTCAGATCTTTTTCTGCGAAATGATTTTTTTGTAATTAGGAAGAAAAGAAAATTTTTTTAAATTAATAAGACATTTTTTTTAAATTAAAATTAAATTGAAAAAAAACTGCACACACATAAATAAAATCTTAAAAATCTTAAAAAAAAATATATAAACTCTTGTACTTTTTACAAATATTAGGGGGTCCATTGTGTTCAATATTACAATTATAAATTTGGCAATATTGGTTTTAAAACTTGTTAAAATCAAGTTTGACAGTCGTCTATAGTCTAGTCTATAGTCTAGTCTGTAGTCTAGTCTGTAGTCCAGTCTGTAGTCTAGTCTGTAGTCCAGTCTATAGTGTAGTCTATAGTCTAGTCTATAGTCTAGTCTATAGTCTAGTCTATAGTCTAGTCTATAGTCTAGTCTATAGTCTAGTATATAGTCTAGTCTATAGTCTAGTCTATAGTCTAGTCTATAGTCTAGTCTATAGTCTAGTCTATAGTCTAGTCTATAGTCTAGTCTATAGTCTAGTCTATAGTCTAGTCTATAGTCTAGTCTATAGTCTAGTTGTCTAGTCTATAGTCTAGTCTATAGTCTAGTCTATAGTCTAGTCTATAGTCTAGTCTATAGTCTAGTCTATAGTCTAGTCTATAGTCTAGTCTATAGTCTAGTCTATAGTCTAGTCTATAGTCTAGTCTATAGTCTAGTCTATAGTCTAGTCTATAGTCTAGTCTATAGTCTAGTCTATAGTCTAGTCTATAGTCTAGTCTATAGTCTAGTCTATAGTCTAGTCTATAGTCTAGTCTATAGTCTAGTCTATAGTCTAGCTTATAGTCTAGTCTATAGTCTAGTCTATAGTCTAATCGCGAACTAGTCCTTTTGAGTTGATTTAAGTTTGGAACTGTCACTTTTCTAACTGGTTCTTTTTAGAACTAGTTCATTTTTGAATAATATTTGAATTTATTTTTATAAAAAATTCTTTCCATATAGAATCGATCATTGGTACCAAGATCACCAGATAATATCATATACATATTTTTAATATTATAAAATTATTAACAATAAAAACGTAATAATTTTATTTCTAATTAAAATTTGTAGATTGAACATTGAACATTTTGATTTATTTCTACAATTAAATACAAATTTCAAGGGTAATTTGTATGGGAACGTGATTTCTAAAATGTGGACCCACTAATATTTGTTTTATTATACAATATACTCATGATCATAGTATGTTTGTATGTATGTGTGTGCAAGTGTGAATATGTTACGTTCAAAATCATCAATGACTGAGTAAATGAATGAATCACTTTTTTTGTTGTTGTTCTTCTTCTATTTTTTTTCATCAGTGACAATGATGATAATGATGATCATTTTCAAAACAAAAAAAAAATTAAACACAATAATGATGAATTTAACCTACTTATAGTGAGAAAACTGATACAGTTTACGATTGCGATTTATTGATCGATGATCCTTAAACCATGTCACTTTGGGTGGTGGTCGTCCAGTAACTTTACAAACAATTCTCAATTCTTGGCCATTTTCCACAGTACGATTACTGGCTGATATTGATTTTATAGAAGCAAGCTGTGCTGTAAAAAAAACAAAACGAATGACATTAGTAGCGTAAAACAAAAACAAACTCAACATAATGATCATTATGTTTATCATAGGAAAAAAAGGAAAAACATCATTATGAATTTCCATCCAGTTAATAAATAATATTAATAGATTTATATATGTATGTGTATCTTTAAGATATGTTAATGTAAAAACAAAGATTTATCTGTTAAAATATTTATATATTTTTTAATATTTGTTTTTTTTTTTGTCGGTCTCAGGAGGGTAGTGAGGGAGTGTGTTAAGTGATTGAGTAAGTTCAGTAATAATGTGAATGTTTGTTCTTATTTGTGTGTTAGAACATTAAGAAAAACATGAGTTTAGTAGTGACGACTACAAAAAAATGATTTATATGGACATTTTGTTGGAGGAAAAAAACACCAAAACAAAATATTAAAAATATTGCGTTATTGTTTGGTATGCATGTCTGTCTGTCCTCAATCATCCGTCCAAACATTCATCCATCTGTCAACGTTATCACTTCCCTGAAGTTTATTGTTGCATGCATGTGCGTATTTGTATATGTGTATGCTTATATGTGACGTCAGTGATATGATTAAATTGTCACTTTTTTGAATTGTTTCATTTCTTATCTAAATTGATATACAAATTTTGTTTTTAATACAACAGCAACAACAACAATATTTATACAATTTAGAAATTCCTTTAGTTAGGGGGTTTATGTGTTTTTGGTTTTATTTTTATTTTTTGCTTTTTCAATGGAATTTAAAAATTTTTCCTAAATGTACCAAATAATAACATCAGCAGTAGCAACAACAACAAGAACAGAAACAATTCCATTCGGCAATAACAACTATACGACAACATCATTAAAAACATCACTCTGCCACCATCAGCTCTTTAAGTATTCAACAGAACGTCAGTTCGGTAAACATGGACATCAAGACGCGACAATAAATACATCAAAAAGCGACATCCGAAAATAAGAGCAGCAGACAAATGAACTAAAGAAAAATCACCATCATCATCATCATGATGAAAACTAAAGTGAAAAAAGAAATACATTTAACAGCAGCATCAGCAACATGTATTGGTTAAAGACGAATTTAATGCACCCTAGGTTTCTACTTACGTAACCACTTATATAATTATCTTATGTTTCTTAAACTGTAATGATCAGTAGATATAATCGAATCATAACATTGTCAATAAATTTGAATCTTGCTGTAGTTTAGGGCTCTATTTCAAGAATGTTTCTAAATTATCTGCAAGAAATATTAACAGACCTAAATCGAATCCATCGAATGTCTAAGGGCCCGTTTCCAGATAACGTGCGAGTACATACTTTAAGTTTAAATTTTACTAGTAAAATTTTTTACTAAAAGTACTCTTATTTTATCTGGAAATTATATAAGTTTTACAATTTGAGTGAAAAAAAGTCAACTTTCTTGTCAACTTGCCTCTAACAAATTTGGAAAACAAGGCTAAAAAGTAAGTTTATAAGTTATTAATAGACTCCTTCTAAATAATGCAGTCGGTATGTGGTAGTCATTGAAAAGTAAGTTGTTGAGTAAGTTTTACAATCTACAGACTCCAAAGAACCATTTTCGTCTTTAGTACCTAAACAAAACTTTTAAAGTTCTTATTTTCAGCGAATTAAAGTGACAAACTTAAGGTACTCTCCGACCAAGGCAAAGGGTATAGGGAGCGAAAAAAAGCTGAAAAACTGAACAATGAATGTATGGCACATACCTAAATGATATATATTTTTGTAGTTGCTGTTGTTATTGTTGCTGAGATCTTACAGTTGTTTAATGTTATTGTTGTAATAGTAGTTGTTGTTGTTGATTTTACTTTGTAAACGTACTACTTGAAGCACCTTCGGTTAAAACGAAATGTAAACATTTGCTGCTGTTGCCTGAACTGAAAAATCATGTGAAATTTCCTTTGCTTTCAGTCGCAAGGTGAGTTATGGGGGCGTGTGAACAAGCAACGTAAGAGAGATAAATATGTTGATAAGGTTGGTTGTACAAACTAAAAGAAAATAATATAAAAAAACTAAAAAAAGAAACGACTTGTACAGTGGTGAAGTTGCAGTAATAGCCAATTGAACTGCAATCAGGGCAAGTTGAAGGATTTTTTGAGGATTATTCTATGGCGATAGTGGATGTAATGTTAAAGCCAAGGGATTTTCAAACAAATTTCTTCAACAGATGTCTGTTGTTGCATCACCATTTACTTAAGCAAAAATTCACATAAACAATTTCACCTTAATTTTTAACAGAAATTCTTTTCTTTTAATTGAAAATCAGTTCAAATTGAAAAATTCCATTTTGTATTAAAAATTCGATTTTTTGTTAAAAATGCAATTTGTACGATAAATGTAATTTTGTACTAAAACTTCTATTTTATAATAAAATGCTTTTATAATAAGATGATATTTTGTACTGAAATTTAAACTAAATTCCTATAATCCGTTTTTGTACTAAAACTCAATTTCGTACTAAAAATCCAATTTTCTCTGAATTTTTACTGCTATTTTACACTAAAATTTAGAGTTTTACTAAAAATGCAATTATTTACAAATAAATACAGTTTTGTACTAAAAATGCAATTTTGAACAAAAAATGCAAATTTGTACTAAAAATTCAATTCTGTACTTAAATTCTAATTAAATGCTTATAATCCGATTTTATACTAAAAATCCAATTTTGTACAAAAAATTCCATTTATTGTAAAATTTCCAGTTGCACTAAAAATGAAATTATTTACAAGAAAAAATACAATTTTGTACTAAAAATTAAAATTTGTACTAAACATGCAAATCTGTACTTAAATTCTAATTAAATACTTGTAATCTGATTTTATACTAAAAATCCAATTTTGTACTAAAAATCCAAATTTTTACTAAAAATATGTACAATTATGTACTAAAAATTCACTTTGTAATTTTAGTAAAATTTTGATTACTACTAATTATGAAACCAATTTTGTACAAAAAATTGCAATTTTCACAAAAGATTTTGTACTAAAAATCCAATATGTACTGAAATTTTACTTTGATTTTACACTAAAATTGGAATTTTTAATAAAAAATGAATATGTACTAAAAATATAATGTACTAAATATCCAATATATACAGAAGTTTTACTGTGATTTTACACAAAAATTGGCATTTTTACTAAAAATCCAATTATGTACTAAAAATCAATTTTGTACTAAAAATGCAATTTTTTATAAAAATGCAAATTTGTACTAAAAATGCAATTCTGTACTTAATTTCTAATTAAATACTTATAATCCGATTTTGTACTAAAACTCCAATTTTGTACTAAAAATCCACTTTTTAATGAATTTTTATTAAAATTCTGTTTACTATTAAAAATCTAAACCAATTTTGTACAAAAAAATTGCAATTTTCACAAAAGATTTTGTACTAAAAATCCAATATGTAAAGAAATTTTACTGTGATTTTGCACTTAAATTGGATTTTTTACTAAAAATGCAATTATGTACTAAAAATACAATTTTTTACTAAAATTAATTTTGTACTAATTAAATACTTATAATTCGATTTTGTACTAAAAACCCAATATCTTACTAAAACTCCAATTTTTTATTAAAAATCTAATTTTGTACTAAAAATCTACTTATAATGAATTTTTAATAAAATTCTGTTAAAATTTTAGCAAAAAAAATTCGAATTTTCTAAAAAAATATCCGAAGTTTTTCTTTAAAAATCCGAACTTGTGGAAAAAAATTATACCTTTCAAAGCCACAAATTCTGAATTCAAATCCTTATTTTTTACACAAAACTTTTACTTTTCTTTAAAATTCAAATTTTTTCTTGAAATCAAAGTTTTTATTGAAAAATTTATTGATTGATTTAATTAATTGAAATTTTATTATTGAGAGATCAGATCTTTCAAAATATTGCTTTCCTTTACGGATCTATCTAAGCTCTAACCTAATTAAACAAATTAACCAATTATCTTAAACGACCTGCCCCACTGTGCAACGACAAACTATAAATACCAAAATCAAATAGAAAACTTAAAGCAGCAACAGTCAGCGGAGGAGACTAAAAGAAATGTGCGCCACCGACGACTACACAGAGATGGATGGATGATTCACAAATTTAGATTATCATCTATCATAAAAAGCAAAACAAAATATAAACTTTATTAAAAAAAAAACACAAATTTGAAATAGATTTTTTTTCTTTAAACGAAACAAAAATAAATATGCATTTCTAAAGAGGCGCATAATGTGTCCGTCTATTAGAAAAACTAACAAACTGTTGCAAATTTTCTTAGAAAGACATTTGCTGATGAATAGGCGCCTGTTTTGAAAGAGAAAAAAACAAATAAAGATAATTTTGTTTAAGGCAAAATTTTGGGGAAATTATTTTGTGATATTCGGCGAAAATTTAGCAAAACAAACAAATAATATGAATCACCTACTTGATTCACATGAACAATTTTGAAAATGCCACACACCTGTAAACCATAGAATAGTCAGTTAAATTCCTAAAAATTTTCAACAAAATTTATTTTTTTTTAATGTTTCATCTTCAATCAATTAATATTTATTGTCCACAGCAAACATGCTTGTGCTTGCCATGGCTGCTGACTAAGTTTAAAGATCCTCTCAAACCCCCCAAAATTTTCACATTATTCCTGCGAAATGTTCATCCCACACTTAAGTGGATATAAATGTTTAAGTGTGTGTTTGTTTGTTTGTTTGTGTAGCTGTGTGTATGTATGTAGATGCTCGTACTAATATTGTGAGATGTTTGGTTGTTTTTTTTTTTTTATTATTTTGTTTTTATTTTTTTTTATTATTTTTCTTTTTTTGGGGACAACAAACACACACTTGTTTGCTTCATGTTAAATTTCTCTTATTTATTATTTCATTTTCATTGTCTTGTTTGTTGTTGCTGTTGTATGTGGCATGGTAGTGAGTGAGTGAGTGAGTGTGTGTATCTGTGTGCCACAGTTATTTTACTTC